AAAATCACAGAATTTCAGGACATCATGTCATACAAAGCAACAATCAAAATATCAACTGTGTGAAATGCTGATAAGTTAGGATTTAAATGAGAAATGTGCCTACTTATTTATGGGATTAACACAAAAAACAGAAGAACAACCTGTTAGCATTTTAATTCATTCTTATACAGTTATGACTATAAGTACAGATGGTTCTTCTTTCCTGAATTATATGTTTGTCTTCATGGGCCATGAAGTACATTCTGAATCTGTGCCCTGAAATCAGTGTTCATAGCTAGGGACCTTAACACTCATGTATCATATCCAGCCAAAAGATTTTCTTTAAAGACAGAAATCAGCAGTATTTGTGGACTCATATTCAACTTACAATGATAATATAAGCCTCAAATCAATCAAGCCAACACAACTCTGGAAATCATTAAAATTTCACCTTGAACAACATGATGCATTCAACCACTAGATAAAGAATTCTTTCATCAATTAAAGGCACTTTTCCAAAGCTAGTCTGTTACGATCTTCTGCAACAGAACTATCAAGTTTGAGATACCGCAATGAGCCAGCACTGCAGTCACTACTTCACTTTCAACTTCTGACAACTTCATTTTGAAATTCTGTCAGGTACTCCCCAAATAGAAAAAATGTAACAGTGTGACCACAAGCTTTCAAAATACCAGCACAATTCTGTTTGTACAGAATGCAAAAATGTTTATAAACTGTAGTACTCTAGAGGTTCACATAACCCCATAAATACAGCATGGAGTAAGGTCTGGGGATCTAGGGAGCCAAAGAATGAGTACTGCTCTTTCTATCGAAGCCTTCTGCACCTGAGATGTCATTTTCCTTTGACAGAGATCAGAATGACACTTAGAGATCACAGTCTTCTGGGATGTGGTCTCATGTACTTTCATAGAGAAGTACCTATCTATGCAACTAAAGAGTGTAATACCCCAGAAGACAGTAAGCTTTATATTCACCACCTTGAACACATCATAACTCACATTAACATTATTGTCAACAGAAATGATCCTATGACACACTTTATAGTGACCATATATCATCCTCTCCCATTTCGAACAAAGTAACTCATCTTTTCTGAAGATATGAAAATTGTAATATTAATGTCAATTCCTCTGAATTGGTCTTCCTTTCAGAGTTCTCAGATCAACAAAGAAATCTCATCTGAATCTGTAAATAATATTCAATCACGTACCCCAACAACAAATTAATCACATCTGGTCACATGGGATGTAAGTGGTTCTAATGTCATCTTTCATTTATAATAAAATTTATCAGAAAGCTTGACAGGTTAAATATAATTTCTATAAGGACAGTGTCTATGTAAGTAGTACTTGTCTGAAAAAATGTTATCCAAATTAAAAAGGGTGTTATTAATTCATGATTCAATTTAAGCCATGTACCCACTCTCTTCAATTGTATAGATCTGTTGTTAATAGAAATGGTGGGTATACTATTGTACATATTCTGAATACAAACACTGTACTAACTGGAAACCTCACAGCAACTGCCCTTTTATATACAGATACCTATAATTTTGGTACATTAAATGTGGCACGATGGTGACCACATGCATAATTTATCAAATAATGCTGTTGTCAAACAGATTTAAAATTAAAAATCTCAAGAAACTGTGATGCCTGAGAATCAAGAGAATTAACATTCTTGAATGGTGTAAAAATCAATAGTGATAAAATGGCAGATACGGAAGATTCCATATCTTTATCGGGGCACCTTCTGATGCCCCTAATGTAAACAGATCTAGACTTTTCTGTCACTCGAACTGTCATTGCCATAATGACTGACAGCGTCCTTGGCCTATTTGTCAACCAATTACCGAGTGTAAGGTCAGTTTACAGGTCCCCAAACTTTAACTGAAGTTTATATAATAAATATGAACCGTACTCACCCCATAAACCAATCCACGGTGTCGCGGAGATATTCAGGTAGCCTATCCAGCTTGGAAGATTGTTTAAATATCGACACAAACAGAGCCTAGCTTAATAATTTTGACTAGCACATCCACTGCCATTCACTGTATAATCAAACATGGCGACTTACACTTCAGGAACCACTTCCCCCATAATACAGCATTAAAAGACAAACAGCGCATGGCCATCTATATAACAAAAAGAGCAAACTTTGCCTAGAACATCCTTCAGGGAACGTCACACCTTGAGTTGGCAACTTTATGTAAGGGAAAAATCGTGCGCTCTACGAGATCCCCGCTCTGGTTATACTGATGCATAGTGTATGTTTACGATGTTGACAGTAGGGTCTAACAAAATACTGATTTGTGATGCCGTGTAATCCGATTTAACCCCATAAAGCCGACTTGTTACTGTGTGGACCAGCTACTGTTAACACACTAAAACTGCACTTTGCCCGCAGCATTTTTGTGTTTCGCACGGTTCTCAGAGCAAACAAAGGCTGTTTCTCTACTGGCTGGTTTTTGTAGCTCTGACTACTAGAAATAGGGCATAATTTGCTGTACTGAGCCTTGTACAGTACAAAGAAATATGAATTACTATTATATTTGTAAATATAAGTAAATACTGACAATGGACTTACTAATACGGACTAAGATTGACAAATGACAGACCCGACCTCTCGTTAGAGAGGGCGCCCCAAATGGACACTACAGTAACTTTCATATATGTGTGGGGAGGGGGAAATCTGGTCATGAGCCCCATGCGGGGCTCAACATCAAGACAACCAAGACAGAGAAACTGACCGTCAGTCGCAATGTGACTTGGATAGGCCGACTAATCGTCGGTTTAACATAACTTTGGCAGTCTGCAATGGGAAAGGTAAATTGATGTTTCAGTGTAACATACTGGCTCAATTCGCTCAACAAAAGGATGAGCAATTTCATAAATACACCAGTCACGCAGATGCAGTTTTAACTGCTTATGTAATAAGCAGAATGTTACTCTGCAAATATTTCAAAACACTTCCTTTTCAGACAATGAATATTTCTTTGTACAATTTCTCTTACAATGAACGTGAAACTGCAATCCACAAAACGCAAAATTCCAACCACTGCATTACTTAAAGTTGAACTGGCTCAAGGCAGAGTTCCAATTTACACAAATTTGGTTAGCCTAGTAATGACCATCATCATCTTCAAAGGGCGATTATTTTAAATACACCAACCTATACATAATTTTTCAATAAATCTGTGCCAGTTTCATGTAAATATTTATTTTCAGAAATAATGTGTGTCATCTTGTGGGATGTGTTTTCTGGAACCTGCCACCCTACAGATGAAGGTTGCAGTCTCCTCCAACACGTTAACTTTCTACCAGAGAGCATGGCATCACAACCCAGATGATAAGCCATCTTTATACTCACCTGCATGAGAACCACAGATCTCATACTGATATTCTTCACAAATCTAATTTATCTTAATATATTGCAAACCAATCCATTCCTATTGAGAAGAGCATGTGATTACATGCCAGCTGAGCACATCACTAACAGCATGCTGACAATGGCTTGATATGCTGTGCTTAAGTCAAGATCTTGTGGCTTTGCTGAATAAGAGTGTAACCAAAACTATAAGAAGCAGAGGACTGCAGCATTTGGGTAATTCTAACCCAGTAACAGGGAGCAAGATGGTGCTCTATCTTGCCTATGTAACAAAAAGCCCAGGTGCTGAATCACATCTTGCTTGCAACATTTTTGGCATGAAGCCAGTCATATTTAAAAAAAAATTAGGCCCCAAATCCCAAATTTTGAAATACCACACTAAACGTTCAGTCATGGCAAATCTCTTTCAGTTTCAGGTCTTGTGGGTCTTTGATGCCATAAAGTAGACAGGTGTGTCTATTCTCTTCTACACTGAAAACAGCACTGTCTAACAATCTTTAAACCTCATTCATGAATTTTATAAATAAGGAAATTCAGCAAAAAAAGATTAGAGCAGACCACTCTTTCTCAAGAAAAACGCATAATTTTTTCTTTTATTTCATGTACAATTCAATTGTACGTTACGGAAATTGTACCTCACAAAAACAAATGCCTGCCTGGTCATCTGTAAACAATTTATAACTCTTCTTTAATTGAATACTTCACAACACTCCTTGTTCAATTCTTTCCGACTTCATAAAATTAAAAATTTCAAAATAAAGTTCTACAGCGTATCATATCTATGCTAACTGGCTACATCTGGTGCCCAGGAAGACTTCCACAAGGAAACATCCAGCGGCAACAATAACTAATGCCACCTGAGCCAGTGGATGCCCCTAAGTCACCAAAGCATGCCTATGTATTATCTTGTTGCATGTATTGTATGTATTAACACACCAGTCATTTTGGCACAGCACACTTTCTTATCAATCACATTCACATGTCCATAAGCCCAGCTTCACTTTCTGAAATGCACCTAAAAAGGAAACTGCCAAAAAATAGCAAGATGTGCATGGGGTTTTACTATAATGAAACCTTTGTGGGAACTGCCCACAGTCAAGCAAATGTGACAATGCAAGTATCATTGCTTAGCAACAGTGAGTAAACAGCGGTTGGTAGGCAAAGCGAGTAAACAGATATTGCTAGGCAAAGCCTACAACACGGACAGTGACATGTTTTCTATATGTCCAACTCTAGGTTATAAGAAGATACATTGAGTGGAAGTTTACAGTTAACAGTTCTACAATTCTAGTTCAGTGTTCAAGGAGTTCACTTTGTTATTAGTATTCTTCAATTCTTCAAACTCAGGTTCATCTGTCTATACTGTGCAACTGTAATAAATATTATAGAACAGTTCATCAAATGGTTGTCTCTTCATATAATGACATCCCACACCTTCATGCAAGAGCTTATTTACACAGCATTAATATAACAAATCATATGAAATTCAACACTGTGAACACAACTCAGACAGGAAAAACAACTTCACAGTTGACAGTACCTTAAAAACATAGGCCTACTTTCATCAATAAATGGCACTTCATATTCCACACGACTAAAATAAAAGAAACCACAAATTTACCATAAATTTAATAAATTACACCAAGGCATTTATTTAATTATATATAAGACAGTACAGACATTCATAACAATTCATTATAGACATGACCACACTACTTACAAAGAATGCCTCTGGAATGAAGCTACAACTCATGGTTAATGTATATTAATATAACAGTGTAAACAATAGGAATAAAAATGAGTCACAAAAATTTATGGTAGATACCTAACCCCTTGACATTCAAGATTATAATTAGAACAAACAGATAATCAGTTACAATACTAACAGCATTATCACTTTCATTATGAAACCACTGAATTTTGACCAGCTGTGAGGAAATAACCCCTTTGCCAAAACATACAGGGGTCTTGGTAACTAAAGGGGAGGCAACTAAGTTAAGCAGCCAATAAAAAGGGAGCACATTTTAATGGTAAGGACTCATAAAAAAAGGGGAGGAAAGAGTACAAACAAAAATAATTGGATAGAACCTAGGTAGAATTTCTCAGATTTCATTTTTCCAGCCATGCACTCTTGCTCGACCACATTCATCTACAACCAAATCACTAGTACACTAACCGCTCAAGACGTCTGAAACCAGCAATGTAAGAAAACACAAAGTCCAACAATGCAGAGAGTGCTAATAAAAATTCAAAATCGCAGACCCTTCATTAACTACGCAGGGCAGTATTTCTTTTTACAATTTTCATATTATGCTGGTAATTGTGGATGTGTTATCATTCTGCTTGTTAAAATGGGTGCTCCATTATAATTCTAAGTCACTGTCACCACCATCTCCACACAAAACCACTCTACTATAAAAGATACCTTGTTAACCACCCTCCCCCCTTTAGATCCTAGAGATAAAATGCTTTGAAGAGTTCATCCTTCCACTGCAGAATTAAAACATGGCTTCACCTACAAATTTCTGTCCTTATCACTGTTCCTAAGCATGCAGCAGTTAATTATCTCCATCTTCCTCCTCCTCTTCCTCAGATTCTGCTTCAGCCAGCCACATCAACCATTGGTTTACCTGCAAAAATCCAACAAAGTTAATTCTTCATTCACAATAAATAGCCGAATGCTGCTATGGGATGTACGGAATGGGACAGAGCTGAGAAACCAAGCAACATACACGGAAAGAGACCAGACTACTGTTAATTACAGCTTGTTTTGAAACATTTTAAGAGCTCAGTTTCTCTGCAGCTCCAAACATTTATCAAATAATTACAGAATGAGCCATGTTTCAACTCACACCAAACAAATGAACATACACTGTTCAGGTAGCAGGGGTTGACTCATACTGCCTTATGCAATTGTTCAAGAAATGAATGTTCAGAGTATTCCGGAACTGCTCCAGCCAGTCTTGCTCTATCATGGTGGAGGCAATTTAGATTATATATAATATTTGTGTTAAACTAAAATACATAACAAAAACTACATTTCCCAGTTTTACTCAGAAACGTTTCAGCCCAAAATACAACTAGAAAGTAATGTCTACAGAAAATTTGGTTAATTAAAAATTTGCACTGTTGCTCCTTCAGCACTTAGAATTAATAAAGTTGTGTGTTGTCGGTGTCAGATTTAATCTGTCAGATACTTCTATGTCATTTACTTGGAGGGACTGAAGACAGCCAAGAAAAACGTCTCCCAGAATAGTCACTGTCCCAGCCAAGATTCAAACCTGGCATCTCCAGAATAAGTCAAAAGCAATGTCCTAGGGTTATGTCATGGATGACAGAATATGAGCCTTCAGTTGTCATGTTCATTTCTTTATCTTTTTATGGACTATTTATGATGCTGCCAGCAGCACAGACAAGACAATATTAAGTGACAGGATCAGTGAACTGGAGAGGATGTGGAAGGAACAATTCACAGCCTCATTTGAGGTACTAACTCAGCATTCGCTGGGAATCCACAGTACCCTCATCACTGTTGCTACTCTTGACTAGGTAGCTCCTGAACATGTCAGAAGCATTACTTCTGTCAACTAATTCTGATTATAGCAACATAAATGAGAGAATAAATAGCACCATGGTTATATGCAAAATTTTAACTAATACTGCAACATTACACTGTCATTTATTTATTGACTAGACATGGGTATGGCCTGGTAACCGAATTTACTGACCACTTATAAATCGTAACTACGAAGAATTATAGCATTATTCCTAATTCACACATTTTACAAATCAATACAGCACATAATCAGTCTTCCCTGGCTTCACTAGAAACTGCCCGGTAACAGAATCCCAGCAATGTCCTGTTCATGTTGCTACCAACTGTCAATTGCTTCACAAGTAACCCTTGGTACCAGGAGTGTCTTCACCTTCCTAACTGCCTGAAAAGTTGCAATTTACACAGCCTCGGCAGACCCAACAGACGCTGTCTTCAACAGTTCTTCTATTGTTGTATGCCCATCCGTTTCAGCAGTATGTTGTTTTGGCTGCCATGGGAATATGTTTACTGGCCATCACCTAGCAAGAGCACTTTTGGCTTCCAGCCACTGTCAGTATTTATGGTACATGTACGGGGCACTGTCAGTAGGCAAGACTCTGCAGCACTAGGTGATAGTGATGATGAAACTGAGTACCAAAATACAAAGGATGTAGAAGGATGCAATCACAGCCCCTTTTAAGCTCCTATCCCAACTGGTAGCCTTTTACATGGGTGAGTAAAATGAAAACCTTAAAATTTGTTTACCAGCTAATTTAGGGCAAAGAGGTTCTGTACAGCTTTGCATTTTTTAATATATTATCCTGTTGTGTTCAATGCACATCCTCCAGCACTTTACTAATGCCTGGATTCTGCACAAGTGCATGCGTGGGGGGGGGAGAGAATCCTTTAGCTGTATGTGTAGCCACACATTCCCAGGCTCTTGCACTTCGTCACTGATTCAGGGAGTCTTTCCACCAAGAGACCTCCTTGAGTGGCTCAAAGATATGGTAGCCACAAGGAGTGATGTCAGGCAAGAAAGGTGGATGTGGGAGAGATTAAAAATTTATGTCCATGATCATCTCAGCTGTCATACAGGCACTTTGTGGCACAGCTATGTAAAAAGGTAAAGTTATCCCTGTAACAGGCCATGGAACGCCAAGAGGGTTGTGAGAGGTTGAGGCTCCCACATCTTCTAGACAATCATATTTTCTTGACCTCGGCACTAGTTGGAGGTGAGTGGTCAGCTTCACGCTCCTGCCGCTTTATCCCTGGGGAAAGAGCTCCCGGTACCCACTGGACAGAAGGCTGGATGGGCCCCAGAACCAGTATGGATGCTGTGGAAAGAAATTCTTGACCCTACTGTGACTAAAACTCTGACCCCTGTCATCCAGCCCATAGTCAGTTACTATACAGACTACACTATCATACATCTTTGGATATAAACTGTACTCACCACAAAGAACGATTAAAATACATAATCCTCAAGTCCACTTAATTAGTACATCACTATATGACATTAATGTTTAAAAATGCATGTCTGGCAATATTTATTCATCATGCGTTCAAATGAAGAAGTTACAAAATTGTATGTATGATTCACTGTAGATTTTAAAGATGGTGTATGACACTCAGAACTAGTGCGTTTTTAGATTTCATCCACCATCAGATATTCTAAATTATTAGAGAGTGTTCCGGAAACTGGATCTATTTTATTTCCTCGGGTGAGGGGGAGACACCTACTCCATTGGGTCCCTTCAAAAAAGCTAACCTCAATCACTGGACAACCAAAGTCAGTATAATTACAGGTATATAAAAACATGAGACTGCGCTTTGACAAAGGGAGGTAACAGGAAAAATATACAATACAATTGTGATAAAGCATGCACGGGCAGGAAACTAAGACAGAAAGGGAGATGAAAATTTTATGCAACAAACCACATCCAAGAAAAACAATGCATAGGATTAAATGAGAAATTTTGTGAAACTGTTTTGTGACTACTGCTAACACCACCTCTGGAGTAAAAGCTGAACACTGGTGACTAAAGCCTGATAGAAACCCATGATCAAAATCTTACATCACACTGTTCTTATCTGCGAGTTGATAACCTAACCGTGAAAAGGGGGATCCAAATGGGAGAAATGTCCACAGTGAGTTGACTCTCAGGTGGGTTAAGCATGCCATATGGGCCAATTCCTTGTATTTCCTATACCTGCTCTTACTTTCAATTTCAAAAATCCTGGCTTCATCCCAGCTAATTTTCATTCTTCTAGAAGAACTCTTTCAGACTGTAGCCATATTTATGCACCACACAGCTAGAGGTCTGCTACCTTTGGAATTAATGACCGAGGGGATGAAACCTTGAGGATAACTGCTGAGCTGAAGATCATATCTTGGGCTACTTATTTCATTAAACAGAACTTGAATTAAAATTCTTTTCATGTGTGGCACATGGTTAGCTATGAGGCTGAGTTATCAGCTGGCTTGGATGGGTTTTCCATAAACTTTGGTGGCCAATGCCATTCCTTTCTTGATGACAGAACATCCAAAAAGGAATCACACTCTCTGACCCATAGTGAACTCGATGGAAGGCCTTACACTATGGAGGAGGCTGAGAATGGAAACATATCCAGTTTCTGAAACACTGTGTTCTTTAGTTTTTTAGAATACCAGTTGGACAAAATAATAAAAAAACCCAGTAATTCAGAACGATTCACTGTTTATCCATCCATCTGCATTAAATGACTCAAGAACCACTACACAGGTTTTTATGGAATTTAATATTCAGGAGTTTTATTTAAGTCTGTAAACATGATTCAATTTTAGCTAAAACTAGATAATAACAAACCTGTACATGAAGAACAAAATGCATTTCTGCATGCATCTCACACATAACTTGTTCCATACAAACAGTCCAAATGAACGTGAATATGCTCAATATACTTTTCCTGTATGTCTTATTGTTTTCCAGATAGTTAAGGCCAGAACTATTATGCCATGGCCATATTTTGTAAGGTTCTTGAAGTGGTTCTCATGTAGACATGAAAGTAATGAAAAATAACTCAATAATTGATGTCTCGTATTATCTGAACTGAGAAGTTAAAATTTTCTCATGCTTGCACAACTTCTTGTACTTGGAATGATCTGCTAATATGGCAAAAACCGCAGTCTCTCTGCACATTCACCTCATGGTCATGTAAACTCTCTTTAGGAACATTTTTTTTTAAGTTCTATTTCTAATTTCGCTTTATAAACAAGATACCATAAAGGATTCATCTATTACCGACCTATATGCCAAATTTCAAATTCCTAGCTTCAGTGGTTCATCACTTATTGCTATAAGACCAAGAGTCAAACACACATTTCACACAACCACCATGCTCTTGCATTATTCTATAAAATAAACATTTTAATAAATTTACACAATTCTCAGTTATTCATAAGTATATCTTCTTTCAAGATTCATTAATACCATGTCATGCCCACTGTAGGCCCATACATCTGCCATGCTGTTATTACCAATCTCTTGGATGGCAAACTTGTGATAAGTGGTTCTCAAGTTCAAAGCAGAAAACTCTACTACTGCACATGGTTTCCTTGGCAAAAATATATGAAAAATGGTTTGATACTGATAAAAATACAGCATATTACATTTTGTCAACAATGAGGAAGGAACAAATAGCACAGTTTATTGTCATGTCAAGTTGATGGGGTTTCTCCCCCACTTGCTTACTTTACCTCATAGGAAGTGAGAAATGAAACAATTTCTGTAATGACTGAAGTTGCTCTGAGGTTAGAAAACATGCTATTATTTCATGCATAATGTATAACTCAATCTCTTATCAAGGTGAGTTTCAAGTCACAAACTCACGTGCATAATAACTCACTTGGAACAGAGCCTTCCCCTTGCCAGGGTAAGCATCAGTAATATCTTCCTTCCACTTGAGAAATGCATCTTCTTCCACAATCTCCAGGTCATAGAGATTTACAAACCATCGGAGCAGCATACCTGCAAGAACAACTTACAAACTATAACCAAAGCAATATAAATCAAACTGCAGCACAATGTGTGCAGTGCAACCAAATTCATTCACAAATCACACAACTTTCCACATACTTAGAAAACAATTCAGAAACAGAAGAATAACCAGTAATAATACATTTTTATCCCAGACATAAGCCTCATGTCATGAAGGCATATGGACATCATGGATGTTGACACTAGATGATCTCATGTTCAAAAAGCTTTCAGTATCCTTTGGATAGGTATGAGGTAGGCTCCAGAGAAGTTCTTAAATGTTGAAAAGTTCCAACACCCCTTCCAAGATTTGCATCTGGCTGAAAAATGAGGGACAGAAAAAAACGTGCACTAACAAAACTCCAAAGTAAACAAAGATGAAAATGTACTGTAAAACTATTCTAATTTAAAATCCCTCATTTTTGAGCATCCTATGCCATGCTTTCTGCAAATGCAGCACTATTCTCTGCTTCACATTTTGTGTAATTTTCTGGAACTGGTGCACATGTTATATATTCTAAAAATTTAAGTATAGTCAACACATTTTTTGAATGCAATTAAGGTTGTTTTACCACTAGAGTGCTGTACAGCTTTCTCCAGTGATCAAGGACCAAACAAAACACTTTCATCAGCCACACACTTGGTCTTATAACAGTGAAAAAAAGGGGGAATCTTAACAAGATTCAACTGAGAAACAATTTAGTTAACAATTAGGGCCTTAGATAATATACACATCCTTGGATTTAGACAAATAATTTCAAGGGGGGGGGGGAAGAAATAAAAACCATATTTTTAACCTCATTACTGCTTCAAATGATAATTCTTGAGAAAGTTATATGCATTATGGGAACTTCAAATTATGTGTAAGTTTTGAGGTTTTCATGGCGATGACCATGAAGAAAGTCGTCTTCTGGCCAAAACGAAGAATACATGGCGCCTAAACCCAGAAGACGACTTTCTTCAAATTATGTGTTGGGCATTTTTATATCAGCACTTGCCCAGCAATTGCATGATCAAAATCCATTACCACCTTGCCGCACTGCAACCAGCTTTAACTGTATTGACTGTCACTTGAAACTTTATCAAGAACAATTTTCACGTCAATATTTGTGAAGAAATTTCATGGTAGGAAATGTCCACATTGCCATATCACATTACTCTGTTAACTCCCTCAATCTACTGTGTAAAATTATACAATGAGAAGTTGTATTCTAACGTTTTATGCATAGATCTCAGACATAACTTTTAAGTAAAAAGTATGTAAATTACATGAGTACATATGGTACTTCCGACTTCCATTAAACATACTAGGTCAAGATGTTCTCACTACAGAAAAACAGAGATGCAATGGTATACCAATACATCCTTCCAAGGTTCCATTCCCAGTGAGACCAGGTTTCATTCAAACACTCAATTAATGAAGTGTAAAAACAAATGGAAAATGAGGCTCTTTCCCTCATTTCAGAAATAAAATCTGAAAGGCTGCTTCAGATTTGAGTGCAACATATATAAATGTCTTGTGACAATATTTTAAGCTTGTAGCAAAAAGACACACACAAGATGCAGCAGTATATACTAACACACAAGTCACACTGCTGTGAGAACAGCAGACAAGAAAGGCAGAAATATGTTACCAGGACAGAAGCTCGAAGTACTACCAACAGCAGTAATTCCCCACATGGTTTCCTTGGCACAAATATATGAAAAATTGTTTGATACTGATAAAAATAAAACATATTACATTTTGTCATTTTTCTAATTGTACTACCAGAAAGCTACTCTGATCCTCAGGGCTAGTTACCTGAGTGAGGTATCTGACAAGCACATTCATGAGTGCACTGATAAATCCAGCACTATTATCTTTATCAACTACATGCCAACCTCACACTCCTTTTAATAAAACATCTCACCATTAAAATGGAATACTGTCTCGAGGAAAGGTTTACTACTGTGAAAGAGAGTAACAAGCTACAATGGAAACTTCTGAGCGATATTTAACCGTTAAGGCCTAATGTTTTATATATATATATATGCAGCAAGCAGCACCCCTTGTTGGCCCAATGTTATATTTATACGCGGCAGGACACTGCTCTCTTTGAGAGTGCTGACAATTTGATCTTGGGTTTGAAACCAAAACAAACCCAGTAAGGTCACTGTCAGTGGTTCATTCCTTAGCTCTAAACAATGAAATCGTTTATCAAGGTACTGGTTTCAATACTATTTACGTTTAGATATGACTGTTTATAACCTGGTCGGCCAAATATAGCCCAGCTTTCTTTTGAGAACCGATAAGGAAATATTCATCGATGCTTGCAGATGAGTGCTTGCAGAGCTTTCAAGGAAGCACGACATATTCAAGGATTAGTTTTCAGTGGTGAATTATCAGTTAGGAAGTCAGTGTCGGATTGTCTAATATTTCTTCATCAGTTAAAAAGTCAGTGTCAGACTGTCATATATTTCTTTATATATCATTTTTATTTTGTGTCTTGGAAGAGGTATAAACCTACTGAGCAAGTATTACTTTGTGAGTAAAAGGCATCTTTGCCACTGTGACTTTCGGTATCAGTGTTGGACTGGCACTCTTTTCGACTAGTATTATAATTACATTGCAGCACTATTTTGCGAGTATTACTAACAGGTGAGTGTGTCACTTTGTCAATCAACATCATTTATTTGATTCTGCTGGAAACCCCTCTCCCCCAAGATGATTCTTCAATCACACAAGGCTAATATCACGGTCAGTGGCGTTTCTCAGGGGAGGCCAAGGTTATCTGGGGCTCAACTGAGTCAACTGGAGGTGAAACATTCACAACGCTGGCCAACCAAAGGGAAACAAATAAAGACACTGTGTGTTTCGCTAAATAAGAAAAGCAGGAGCACCATTTTCTGTCGCAAAAATTGTGATGTTGCTCTGTGTGCCGTGGACTGCTTCGAGAAGTGGCACGAGCAACAGGGTGCAAGGTATCGTAAACTGTGAAGTGACACAGTTCAAACTCGCGTACAGTCTGAACAAAATATTATTGTATATGTGATTATATTTTCAATATCACCAAGTCTCAAGGCTGAATATCACAGTCACTGGTGTTTCTGGGGGGGGGGGGGACATTTAAATTCCGGCCGCAGAGGGCTCCCGGCAATTTAAAAGTCTGTATGTTAAAGGTTAAACAGTGCACATTATTCCAGTCTTCTAACTGTAATGTTCGGGAACCTGACCTTTCTACAGCCACACTCATTTTTCCCACTGTATAAACACACGAGAGAACTTTATAGAGATCACCACCTCAAACAATTCCTATGTCAATCTGTCCTCATTTGTTGTTATGGAAACATGCATTAATTTCATAGCAACGGTCTGTTTTCATGTGTTTACAACCTTCCAGTTTTCATAGCATGTAAACCGTATTCCATAACCAGCTGGTTTCCATGAATCAATCTCTCCCTGGCAACACATTTACCAATTCGTTTCCTAGAAATGGCCCATGTGTCACAATATATAACAGAGGTATATAGACAGCAGTAACAAAAGTTTCAGTATCATAGTTGCCACAGCCTGGCGCTATACAAAAGGGTACTCTAACAACATGTCCAACTGAACTGTAGGCCCACCACAACAATGATGTGCCACATGGCTAATGAAGGTTAGTATTTCCCATCCTGAGTTCTTTTACAGACAAAATAAAAGGGGGAACAGAAGAAACCTAACAGTAGAGGCACATACCAGACCATACAGAGTCAATACAAGACACCTAAAAATGGTCTGACTCTTCAGTAATGGGAGATGAGTGTGTAATGTGTTGTTGCAGATTCACATGACGAATGTGACTGAACTCAAAAATTAAACTCAAATTGAACTCCTTTAAGTTTATAAACATCATTAGTATTAACCTTTGCAGGCTGCAAGTTGCACTACTGTAATTATGCATGCTCCAGGAAGCTGAGAATTCCATTTTTTAATACAGTAGCGTGTAGACGCTAAAGTTGGCACTAACTTTTCTGATAAGCAGCAGTCGCTTGGTCAGTATAGTTCACTTGCAGACTCAAGCCATGGAGTTGTTTGTAGCATGTAGATGGCTGCTACTCAGAGCAGGGGAGACCTAAACGCAACAATGGCATACAGGACCAAAGATTGAGGCAAGAGCTGCATCTGGGGAGCAGGAAAATATTTTACAAGGCCTTTGGACAAATCGTCAGGCTGCAGGTCATGAAGCGAGCAGCTGAGTGTTCCCTTAGACTATGGAAAATGAGATATTGTGGAAGAGCCAGACACCACCCAAGAGAAAGAAGAGACTGTTAGCAGCTTAAGGGCCAGAGACGTAGGAGCACTGATGACTCTCGGAACTTTTGCCTGCGCTGACCAAAAAAAGGACGATGGTGGTATACCTGGACTGAAACCCTTATCAGGGATCTGCTTAGGAGGGTGCAATGGGAGCAGTTGGAGAGTAATCACTGTGAAAAACTGGCCATAGGGAAGGAAGGCAGGACCTATCAGACATCAAAGCACAGCCCTCAGAAAAGAAGAAATGGTAGTATGCCTGTAGGCTATTCAGGACAAAGAGCCTTAATGAGGGTGCAATGTAGCATGCAGAGGGCCATTACTAGGTTACAGCACAGTAAACAACTTATCAGCCTAACAAGAAGAGAGCTGGGGTAGTGATGTTGCCATAGTCTAGCACCAGGCGGAGAGTGCCACTGCAATGGAATAGGTGATACCATACCACCAACATCAACAGAAGAATGGTGCTTTCTGTTGGGTCTGCTCCGAGGCTATAACACACAACTGACTGAGCTGAGTTCAGTTAGTGGAGTGGAGTCAAGTTGAGAGCTTCGTCAATGGAAGCCAGTAAATTCAGCTCACGGCCACACCATAGCTCAAGTGGTTAGTTGCTGGCTTCCCACCGCAGTGGCCCAGGTTCGATCCCGCGTCTGATTAAGTGGGATTTGTGGTGGACAAAGTGGCGCCGGGTCAGGTTTTCTTCGAGTACTTTGGTTTCCCCTGCCAATCTTCATTCCACCAATTGCTCCACAATCACCCTCACCTATGATCTGGGGCTGGTACAATAGGCCAGAAGTGACCGCAGTACAAGGGACTTAGTCCCAACCCACTACCAATAAAAAAATCATCCCAGGAGCTGCAGTGATAGGCAACAGCCAGCAAGAGTGTGAGAAGTTTAGGAAGCTATGGTGATGGAAGCTGTTACCAAACAACCGGTGAACACACAGCAGACTGAGACGACTTAGTATGTGATGCAGTGAACTGCAGTGTGTGTGAATTAGCAACAGTGCTATAGTAGTTAAAATCTGTATGTGTTCAATAAATCCAATTACCAATCCAAACCCCATCTTTAGTCACACTTTATCATGTAATAATACCAATATTAATTCCCAAGATAAAATTATGCCACCATCCAGTCCCAGAGGATTTAAAATCCCACATTCCCAGACAACTAAGGGTAACAGTACAGAGGTGTCATACTCCACACATGAATCGACAGTTTAATGTTGAATGTATGAAGAATCCATGCAGAATGTTTGTTGTTACCTTTTGGGAAGTGCAGTGAGTAACAGTAGACCTGCAGAGAGTACACGGCCATCACTTGCAGGTCTGTCTGTTCATGAAGGAATGCCTGCAGCACCGGTTTCAACTTCTCAAGCAATGCTTTCTCCTTCTCCTGCAGAGCCTTGTCAGGGACTGTGTTTGGGTCACACCCCTCAACCAATGTAGATTCCTAATAAATCATGTTAGCAGTTAGCTGTGGTGACAGCCTCAATGGCACCTTCAGTTCTGTAATGTTATAGTTAACACCTCCTGCTATTATATTCTACACACTGTACAAAAGAAGTCTGCAATCCAATTATGAGCATACCTAGACAAATTTAATTATTTTAACAGTGAGAGATGTCAGGGCAGCAAAGCCAAGACACTTCATAATGTGCCAGACAAGTAGCTCAAAATGATGTGGCTGGATACACAATTTTAGTGGCTACAAAGCTACTCTGATCCTGAACACTAGTTAGTTTACCTGAGTGATGTATCTGACGAGCACAGTCATGAGTGCATTGATAAATCCAGCATTTGTGTGATGTGATGGATCTAGGTTCTCCTTGATCCATTTATAGAACTGAGTAGGATTTGGATCTGCCTGCAACTGTTTCCACAGTTCCGACTGGATCCGCAGAAGTGGAAACAGAAATGTGAGTCCACGGTCATCAAGGATCTCTGAGAGTCGGTCCTTAGTTCGGTCCACTTCAGGCAACATGTTCAACAGATTAACCTGCAATGTTCCAAACTACCTATAGCTCGTGTAAATGGCATTGCAGAACATGTCACACCTCGACCCCCCCCCCAAAGCAAAGCACAACACTTTCATGAAAACCAGGGATTCCAAACATTTAGATCTCACAAGAGATTGTACAGTGTACATACCAATTCCCTCAATTTAAAATGACCTACACTCAAACACCTCAAGGCTTGATGATGAAGGGAAATAGTAGAATCAAACAAAGCTCCACACTGCTGTATGGCTGCTTCTGATTCTGCATACAATAAGCCCCTATTAATTCAACATCTGATTACTTTAAATACTGAGAATTTCTTACTACAGTTTCTCAACCAGCAGCACAACACATAATTCAAAATATGTCTACGGTGATATTCAAGGTTTGGACAAGGCCCTGCAAGACCATCAATACAATGACCATACAACAAATTAAATGAAAATAGACTGGAATTAACATGAACAGAAAATGTCACAAAAGAATCTGCCTTGCTTGGAACTGTAAGTAACAAATACAGTGAAATCTTCATTTGAAGTCTCTGCATGTGGGGGTGGGGGATCTGAACAAGAAGAGAACCTTGCATGCAGGGAACTTTCTTCTGATCTAAGCTGGGAAAATTTAACTGGAATTAAAATAACTTAAAATATAAACTGACAAATGCTGCTTGGACTGAAGTGAAATCAAAGTAGAGTAGGCATGAAGGTATAAAGTACATGAGTTCCTTGAAGATAGTGACCACAGTCAAAAAATCTTACCTTACTATTATTGAAGAGTTGTGTTAATCTTGTTTTGCCTTGAGTCTTGTAAAGTTGTTGCAAAATCAGCATGAACAAAGGGTAATATGCACCATTTTCTGTTATCTCTGAGATTTCCACAAGAGTAATGAGCTCTTCCGAGACAGCATGGGCTGCAAAACCTAATGAGAATTAGAAGCAGACTGGTAAAATTTTGGGCCACTTCGTAATTTCAAAAATAGAGAATTCTTTCTAGACCTGAAAATTTTAGTCGTGGCATCTTTGTACAGTAATTTTATTTTTACTACAATCCTGAGATTAGCACACCATATTACCACATTTAAACATATGATCCATTAAGTTGCAAAATATTATGAACAAGAATTTGGTCCAACATGGAAAATATATTAAGCACGACCTGCTAGTAAAAACATTTCCTCTGAAAAACTGGATAGGCCCAATAAGGCGTTCACTGGTTAACAAAAACATATCTTATTATTGTCAAACGCATGGCACACTCATGCCATTTGACTTAACACACCCTCACAAAGAAAGTCACACACTGGTAACACACATACTGCAAAACGCCTTTCTAAGTCCGTCTATGGGGAAACGTGTATTCCATCTGAAATCAAGGACAGCCATAAACAGGGGTGTATGGCCTATCCAACAAACAAGTTTCCTTTCACAAGCACTTTCCTGTGAGTTGTCAGTTTATCAATTTAAGCACAGCAAGTCTTCTACTTCAACAGCACTTCTGACTTTCCACTGTAGCAAGTGCTACTCTGTAAACAGTACAACTTCTGGGAACACCACGTAGCCTAATAAATGCTTACAGACATTTCAGCAAACAAAGTGCTTCCTGCTTATTTGGCTTACACTTTGACCCTGGAGATGGAGGCAGTATGTTCCTCCAAAAGTCAGCAAATTCTACCAGACTATAAGGCATTACATGAAAGATGATTCTTCAATCACCATCTCATACAACACCTTTTCTATTACTTCTGCATTAACATAAACAAGTTTGGCAATATATTTGATCAACCCATTGCCAGGCATCAGCTTTGTAAATAAAATACACCCCTGCAACAGTAGAGCAAACTGTGTTTTCTGTGTCTGGCAGTTGGCGTAGGAAGGGTGACATCACACATCAACAGTAGGTGGCTGTCACACAGCAACAGTGGGTAGGTGTAACATGATATACGTTTACTTTTGGTCAATGTCCATTCCTTGGCTATAAAGTGAGCAGAATTCTTGAGCGAGCAGAGAGAGAAATAGTCGCAGCGGAATCACAAAAACGAAATTTGTGTGTGTCATAGTGCAGTGGGTTTGGAAGTGTGTACTTTAGCGACACTTTTACAGTTTCCATGTTATAAATCCGTTGCCAGGAAGCGGATAGCGAAGACTAGTGGAAATAGAGTGAGATGATTAGTGAGGAGTCATTGTAAAGTGTGTAAATCAGCAACAGTGCTGTAGTAATGTGACATCGGCTCATGTCCGTGATCTGTGTGTGCAATTCTCCCCTCTACTGTCTCTATTCTCCCCCTCTCTCCTTCCCTTCCTGAGCTGGCTTAGGAGCCTACCGAGTGGAGCTCTAGGCTCTTGGCTTCCCAACCGTTGAAGGGGTAGGTTGTTCTCATTTCGGACCACCGGTCGAGGTCATCCTCGACTGTCCAAATTAATTTCTCTATGTGGTATTCTATCTTAGAACAGCGAACTCTGCAATCATTCTGATACAGGTATTTACATCATGTTTGTATTATTTCTTTATTAATATACTATCTTTATTCTTTGTTAATATTTGATTTGGTTATTTCTTTTTGGGTATTTCCACCTTGCTGATTTCTTTGTCCTCCCCTGCTCGCCCTGTCCTGTGTTCACGAGAACCTATACGCACCCAGAAGGATCTTCTGAAGGGTACCCACGCTTCAAAAAAGTGGTAGCAGAGCATGATTGGGTTCTCGTGGTTGGGTCCATGTCCATGGTTTGGTTGAGTGAAAACAGGGTGGGACGGAACTGTGGTTTAGACGGCCGTAGTCGCTTGTTATAGTGGTTGGTTGCTTTTGTAGCACGCATTGTTAGCGTGGCTATGTGGTCAACGTAATTTCCTCTGAGAGTCTGGTTAGTGTTCGTAGTGTATTTGCACGCAGTCCTAGCGTGGGTTGCCCTGCTATGGTGGTTCGGTTTGTGTAGGACACTTGGGTAGGCTATATGGAACGTGACCTGGTTGTTATGCTCTTGTTATTATAATTGTTTCGTGTCCATTTCGTTAGTAGCATTATGGAACCACAAATTATCGTACCCGAATTTTTGCACAAGGATGAGTTAGCGTATGAGTTGGAGGTCCGTGGTATAAATACGAAAGGTTTAAATGTTGCGGATTTGCGATCTCTTTTCCGTTAAGTCACGCGAAGTAGAAGAAAACCCTGGCGCGTGTACTAATTCTGATATCTTCCTGGCCCCTAATAAAGTGGTAACATTTTGCCATCATCGTTTTCAGCAGATTAAGAATTTGGTGGAGAACACAGACTGTTCTTCCATTGGTCTTGATGTTCCTCGTTACCTCCATCGGTTGCGACATATCAGTACCCGGCTACGTCATCTATTGCAGTTGGGCAAACTCGCACCAGATGTGCGGGCGGACATGGTAAATTTCCAATACACCAATATATGCAGTATACGAAGTGTGTTCAGGAAATAACGGGAATTTTAAAATTTCGCGGGTTTGGAGAGTCCAATTGTCAAAATTTTTTTTTTATTATGTTGGTATACATGCCCCTGAAGTACAATAAAATTTTCAGCTGTATTCATTGCTTACTTTGTCTGTGGCAGCCGCTAAGGTTAGACGTGTTTTTATGAGCTTGGCGATTTTCGTTTGTTAAAAGAAATGGATCAAAGAATTTGTATCAAATTTTGCGTAAAAAATGAAATAAAGTGTTACAAAGTGTGTGAAATGTTAACAAAGGCCTATGGTGAGTCTGTTATGAGTAAAACAAGAGTTTACGAGTGGTATAAGCGTTTCCAAGATGGCCGTGAAGACGTTGCAGATGACGAGCGCCCCGGACGCCCCAGCACATCAACAACCGATGAAAACGTGGAAAAAGTGAAAGCAATGATTATGAATGATCGCCGAATCACAATCAGAGAAGTCGCTGATGATGTTGGCATATCGATTGGCTCATGCCATGAAATTTTTTCGAATGTTTTGGGTATGAAACGCGTGGCAGCAAAATTTGTTCCAAAATTGCTGAATTTTGAACAAAAACAGCGGCGAATGGAAGTTGCTCAGGAATCACTAAAGGAAGTCAACGATGATGCAGAATTACTGAAACGTGTTATAACAGGTGACGAAACATGGGTTTACGGATATGACGTTGAAACTAAGGCTCAATCGTCTCAGTGGAAGCATCCTGGATCGCCAAGACCGAAAAAGGCTCGACAAGTGCGTTCGAACGTGAAGGTTATGCTTACTGTGTTCTTCAATTTTAATGGCATAGTGCATCATGAATTCTTGCCTCAAGGTCAAACGGTCAATAAGGAGTACTACCTGAAAGTTCAACGCCGTTTGCGTGAGGCAATCCGAAAAAAACGCCCGGATTTGTGGAAAAACAATTCATGGCTTTTGCACCACGATAATGCACCTGCTCACACTTCGTTGCTTGTTCGTGAATTCTTGGCCAAAAACAATACTGTAACGATGCCCCAGCCTCCATATTCGCCAGACATGGCTCCGTGTGACTTTTTCCTATTTCCAAAAATAAAGAGAACCTTAAAGGGCCGTCGTTTTACAAGCATAGATGACATTAAAAGCGCATCGCTGAAAGAGCTAAAGGCTATCCCAAAAATCGAGTTTGAGAAGTGTTTCGATGATTGGAAGAAGCGCTGGCGTAAGTGCATAATATCGAATGGGGACTATTTTGAAGGCGACAACATTAATGTAGACGAATGAATAAATATTTTTTCCAAAATACGGAAATTCCCGTCATTTTTTGAACACACCACGTATGATTGCGCAGGTAGATTCCTTGCAGAAGAGTCACCCTTCAGGGGATCAGCCTGCTGCTGTTTCCTTTCTTAAGGTTCAGGGTGCCGCTCCGTCCGACCTTCAGAGCGGAACGCATTTGACTGCCCCTAATCTCACTCCTGATACGTGTTTACCTTCTCAGGAGCAGCCACTATCCCCTAGCCAGGTGGTACCTCCGGTGGTTAATTGTGATTCGAGTACTTTGGGAGGCTCTCTCCGTTTTGTGAACTTGCCTAATCCTGTACACAAAATGCTCGAAAGTCTTCATCTTACTGACGGACTCATTGTATCCGAGCTTATTGAGTTCCTACGAGCTTTAGTACATCTGCGACTTATGGCACCTGCGTTCTGTATTTCTACGGCGCAGATTTTGCAAATTCTATATGGATTTGCTAAGGGCCCATTGGCATCCAAGATCTTGGCTGCTATACATTCTGGTGATATGCTTGATGCTTTTCACGAACATGTATTAGCTTTCTTTATTCCGCGCTGTACAGTGTTGCCATTGTTGAACGCCGACTATTACCGACGGCAAAGGAAGGATGAGCCGCTTTGGCTCTGGTAATTAGAAAAAGATAACCAACATACCTATCATAAATTCAATTCTGCGTAGCAAGTGTAGTAACGTGCTATAGGAAATACTATTTAGTGCCCTCTAATTTCTCCAACATAAAAAAAGCACCAATATAGTCTTCTTCGCCTGTTGTTAGGTCAGGACAATGGTACCAACTGTTTTTTGGATTTGTTTCTTGGAAAGACACATGAGACTGTTGTAACTGACTGCCAAACTTTCTCCTGAACTGATGACAAAGTCCAGTTCTTCAGGCTTTTCACCATTTTCTAATATGCAATGAACACTGAAATAGGCTGTGTCAAGAATATACCTCAACATCTTTTAATATTTTCTCAGCCAATCCCTGGATTTTGTATAAATGTGGAGCTGACAATCATTTCTATCAATGCTCCCCATATTCTGGATGTAGGCTTGTACCATGGCAAGCATTTCAACAATTCTTTCCTTTCAGATATTCATGGCTTACCACTGTGAATGCAGTTCACATGGGTCACTTCCTATCCACCTTTTCAATTGAACATTTTTGGCTTCTTTATGCCTGGGCCCTGTTTCAGAGATTGTCCTAATACAACCACTTTCATTATTTCAAAATACTAAATTGTACATCAGTAACATAACTTCATTTACTTTTTGATAACTACACTGAACACACACTTTCTAAAACACCTTGGCATAGCATATTTTCCAATAATTGGTGATTTATTTTCTCACCACCATGAGAACAATAAGGCAATACAATGAAACATTTGTGTTTTTCTAAGTTATTTAGAATCTGGACGATGGACAAAGTCCGAAAACCCAGTATCTCTGAATGAAACATTTTTTGCTCTCTCCACATGGGTACACACCAAAGGTTGTGCTAGGACATGGTTTGCAAAACAGCCATTTCATTAGATACAGAAATATGCTGGCACATAACCTTGTAGAGTACCAGGCAGGATCCCTACCATGCACTACTGTCTGCACGAAAATTTCCACATTCAACACACACATTCCATGCATCATGTTTTATAAACCAGTCAAGCCACACATTTGACATTTACAATGTACTACTTTCAGCCTGAGTGGCTTCCTGCAATAAAAGTTCATTACTATGAACATTTTACAAGCTTAATTTGCTGCAACAATTACTTAAGCAAATTTCATATTCCACATGTGACAATGCCTTAAAAAGTCTCCTTACTTTTACTGTTCTTCACATCTATGCTGAGGGTTTCTGTAACTTCATATTACTTAATGCAGATACCCAAAGATGCTTCATTAAAAACTTGCAAAATGGAATTTTTCCTTGTCCAGGAAAATATACTTTCCTACTTTTAGTACCAATATAAAGAAAATGTGGAGTGAACACTGTAAAGGTCCTCAACCAAAGCAAAAATACAAAAATATTTCAGACTGCATAGAATTTACCAACTGGAAAAATTGAAGCTCAGACACTTCCAGCCTTCACAAGGTCACAAAAACCTTCTGGTGGAAACCACGAATGTTAAGAATATAGCATCATCACAGCTTCAGTAAGACAAGAGTGGGGGAAGAAGTTACTGATGTACAAGACTATATTTTAAGCTCAAGCCCTCCAAAACTATGGGCCATGAACCTTACATGCTATGCATCTTTTTAACCCTACCATAATTACCTAACTGAACCTCATGTTTGGTACAGAAATTTAAAATAATGTCTGTAGGGATAACCTCACCACAACTGTGAGATCTGCAGTCATCAGGATGAACTTGAAACCATTTGAAACAGTCGACATAGCCTAAACAAACATCACAGCAAACCGGCAATCCAGACAACCCTGTTAATAGTTATTAAATACTGTACTACAGATGGCCACAAACTATACCTCCCTCCACGATGTAACTTATCTATTTCCTCCATCTCCTGTTCACTTTCACAACATGTTTCAGCCATATATGGCCATCATCAGTCCTTTTGCCAAAAACTGTTTCACTGTGTGGTATATCCCACTTCTTCTATCAATGAATGTGATATATCCTAATTTAAAATAATGGGCTCTATGAAAATCAATTAAAAACCAAGAAAGTCTAGTTAAAATTTAGTTAGAATTTTTCAATATTCTGCTTGAGGGCTGTCGGCTCTTTATCCAGACACCACTGTGTAGGGATTTTTGTTTGCATTACTTATGAAGCTGAATAGGTGTCGGTATGTAGCACTTGAAATAATGATGTAGTTATCATGTATGCCCCATGCCTGGCAGGCTCCTGGTGTGTGTATGTAGACCTTATGAATATGATGGTCAGTTGTCATGACAATCTCGGGTAATTACTCCTGCATACTAGGTTATATTGTACAAAGGCTAACAACATTACTGTAATACCCAGACCCCACCATAACTCAATCTAACAGAAGGTAATATGAGGTTTGTTTCAAGTTAGAAGTATCACCTGTTTCCTCCAACAATTATGATGCTGTCAAAGGATATTACGTAACAAGAATGATGGTACAAGACCCAAGAAATAAACGTGCAAATAGGATGTCCTGTTCAGTGTTAAAATCTTGATTTTGCAGGATTTGAGTGCATTTAGTATAAAAAATTGTTATAGACGTCTTATTTGGCAAAAAAAAAAGCCCAAAACTTAAACTTTTAATTGAAAATGTGTGATCGTCTTTGCATCAGTCTCATACACCAGTATACATGGTAGTTGAAATGATAATTTCTACATGTTTGTTCCATTATGCAGGCATGTGCCAGAATAATTCTGCATGCCTTTCAATTCCCTAATAAGCAACTGCATGAATACAAAGGTCCCAACCAGTCACGCTCTGCTACATCCTAAAAGCCATCAGAATTGAATACATTATGGAGGTGGCCACTAAATTTTATATCCACAGTGTGAAACATAACAGACTGTGGTCTCCTACATTGGCCTTTTCATCCTACAATCTGTGTTAGAAATCCATCAACGCTAAAGCAAGGAGAAGCCAGGAAGATTACAGACAATAACTAACATCATGCCAGACTTCGTTAGGACTTTTCTTTTCCAGATTTTAAATTCAAATTCTGTAGAAGAATGGGATAGAGCAGTAAAGACGGTCCACTCACCTGCAACATGAGAATATATGCGTGGAATCTCCTGATCCTTTTCAGCCACATGTGAAACAAGTTCACGGAAACTCTCCAGGAAATGAGCAGAAGTCACAAGCGATTCCTTCTTTAATTCTATGATCAAATTACCTGCCAGCTCACGGTCTGCGTCTGCAATGAATAATCACAACATGTTTATGGGCTGGTTTCAGATGGCCACAATAAATAAATGTATCAACAATTTGCCAATATCATGCAGCTGATAGCCTTTCTGAGTAAGGGTAAAGTAGTCCCTGTGCTTAACTAAATAAGCACTATGCCATGAAGGTGTATGTCGGAGTGGATGTACAGATCCACATTTACTTGATGTCAGCACTAGCTGGAGGTGAGCAGTCAGCTTCACACCGCAGTCACTTTACCTCTGGGGAAAGAGCCCCTTGTTCCCATTGGATAGGAGGTTGGGTGGACCCCAGAGCTGGTCTGGATGAAGTAGAGAAGAGAAAATTCTTGACCCTACTGGGACTTGAACTCCAACCCCTCGGTCATCCAGCCTATAGCCAGTCACTATACTGCCTATCCTGGCTCCTATCCTTCAAGCATAAAAGAAATTCATTCAAGGTTGAAGGAAGTTCATTAGTGAACAGAGAGCATTCCAAATAATATCTTCACAGTACACAACTTATGCAATCAAAAGTAGTCGAAACATACCTCCCAGTCAGTATAGCAATCAGGCTGTAGGCTGCATGATTGAGCAAGCAGAGATCAATTCGTAACAGGGTCAAGGGCTCGGTACAGTACTTTCTTCAATCCACAAAAGTAAACAATAGCTGAAGATTCAACTTAAACACAAAAGGAATGCTTCTTTTCTCTAGAGGAAAGAAATTTCAGGTCTCAGAAAAGCTATGTAAGATGAAGCTCAAACAACTATAACCTTCATCATTCCATACAGCCACCGAGTAGAAACCCTGAATGTTTCAACTATATCATCCAGTTTCTAAATCTAGCCCAAAATGTAACATTTAAAAACATATGCTACTGGAATAATTTACAAGGCACCATTTCTTTAAAAGCTTCCATGTGCATACAAAGGGTGGAAAAAATTACAAATGCACAATTAGTAGTTTATGTCTGCATACAATCTGCACTAGCATAATTCCCACATGAAAGCAGTTGCCATTACTCCTACGACAAATACAATCTCCATGTCTCTAAATCATAACATACACAAGAGTTTAACCCTGTCTAACCTTCTCAGAGACTTCTAACATCACTACTTTCTCAACAGGTCCAATGTCATAAGACTTCCACCACAAATTTTACTGTTTACAGTCACATTATGCTTGTGAATGTTATATCCTTGCTCATTACATTCTTTGACATTCCTCCAGCTGCCTGCACAAGTTTCACCACTGATAATTACTTTACCATTTTTGTCCAAGGTCTGTGTCATGATGGCAAGTAGAACATAGCGAACAAATCTGTCAGGTATCTTCTGTTCCCGGTATGAGCTGAGGGCATCCTGCACATTACCAGATCGAAGGTACTCTTCCATAAGTGATTCTATCTTCTTAAGGATGTCTTCTTTGCTGGGGCCCTAAAATCACAAAAGTGGCTTTACAAAACAGAGCAATAGCTAATCAGGTGTGCTGTGAAAATACTCTCTTGGTTCAACTCAGACGCCTTCAACCTTCATCTGGTTCTCACAAACCGTCCGGTGGAAACCGCGAATGAAGCAGTAGACATCATCACTGTTGCAAAAGTTCTCCAATATAAAGCAGGCAAGAGCAGTAATATGCACATTATTCATTTGGCCTACTAAAACGAAAATGTTATAGAGAAGTCATATTTATGTCTAAGACCCTGTGCTCATGACAGATACTTTTACACAGATACCACATTAAACTACAATGTTACTTTGAAGACTAAAAATAATTTCCAACTTCAGTGTAAACACATACCTTGTCTTTCTTTCCCCCTTTGTTCTTGTCAAGTGAGGCCTGTTTAATGAGTATTGGGGCCTCTTTATGCAGCAGTGGAGGGCTTGGCTTCAGCTGAGGTGGAGCCATTAGTGGTTCGCTCATCAAACCAGTGGGGCGACCTGTAATATTTGTTAACATCTGCATTCAACATCCAAATCAAACAGAATGACCCACCTGTCAAAACATAAAATGCAAGCAGTTTGTGGTTTACTACAGGTAGAATGCATAATGTGCTACAAACTCAGCCATTTTCACCCTTTAGTAGGTCTCAAAGAATCTTCTGGTGGAAACTGTGAATGAAGTAGTAGCTATTTATCATCACAGTTACAAGACAGGCTTCTGGAAGTAAGAACTAAAATTCAACTCTAAATGTCAAAATAGCTGGCAACATAACACCAAGCAAGCACATAAACACACACACACAGAAGAGATTATTCATTGTTACCACATTTAAATATTGTCATATATATCAGTATGACTACAGATGGGTTTTGGATTGATGGTCAATTTTATTGGACACTCTGATACAGCATGAGGCTACACTTTACAATTCCACACTAGTGTCCACAGTCATGTCTTCACAAATTGTTCCTTGGCAGCGGCTTCCAACAGTGGACATTCCCTCGCCTCTGGGTTCCTGAACTATATGCAACCTCACCTACCAGCTTCTAACAAACCTTCAAACAAACAGACCTCTGACTGAATGGCTCACCAACCAACTCACTGAACGACTCTCTACTCTACTCTACTCTACTCAGTTCAACTGACTGACCTCCACAATGTTCATTCACTCATTTTCCACAACCTGATAGAAATCCCTACTGCTCACTTAACAGCCTCCAATACTAGTTGTGTGAGGGCCTCATATAATGTCTTCACACTTCCGAGGTGTAGCGCTTGTCTCCTGTTTCATCCTCTACTTCATCTGAGACAGCTGCCATCTTGAACCTTAGTCCTTAATTCCACTGTTGCATTCTGGGCCCAACCGTCATCTCTTTTCAATCATCAGACCATGTGCTACACACTGGGCAGGACTGGCATGGCGGATTGTCTGTGGGCTGTAGCCCACTTCTTCTGGGACCCACAAATGCCCTTGGTCAATTTCTCTGGTGCCACCCTATGGCTAAGAGGCCAGTCCTCCAGTGCTTCAATAGTTTCCACTTCAGACTCTTCTTTAGCAACTTCCTGATGCTCCATTAAAGACTTCACTTCTTCCATTCCGGCCTTCATTATGGCCATTGTCCTTTTTTGATGGGCTTACAGTTCAGCTTTCGTTCCCTTGTAACCTGCTTTCAATACAGCCTTCAATTCGTGGCCAGCCAGCAGGCATTTCAGTATTGGTTAATTATGCCTGAAGTTTCATACGCACTATTAAACATGGCAATGAATAATTTCTTGGCTTTTCAGGACAAAGATGGCCACTAAAACCAAAGCAAATGAAAGAACAAAAAAGTTTATCTTTTTGCATACCTGGATTGAGCAACACTGGCTTAGTATTGGTTGGTTTGAACATCATGGACATGGGGGCAGGTCTCAAAGAAACATCCTCAAGATTGCCTTGACCTTGTTGTTGTGCCAACATAATCTTATTCTTGAAACGAGGCGGTAGCTCCTTGTTCCCAGCTGAAAACATATAATACTGCATACAAAATGTACCAAAACCAGATATCCACTAATAAAACCTAAATCTGCTACTCATTCAAACATTTGTTGCTGTTTCGTGCATATGAATCGCCTGTCCTGTGTGCTGAGAGGGGCAATCAGGACTGTGGCTCAATTTATATGTGCCTGAAATTGATTCTCACATAACACCACGAACATGATAATGGGAGATTTTTATGGACTATGAAGATTATGGACTTCTGACAGATCTTTACCAACATTTCAATGGCACCTACTTAGGATAGAGGCAGCAAGTTCATCAATAATGCAGGCAATCATCAATGTCAATGAATAATACTGTTTGGAGCAGTTGCCATCTCACTGTCAGCAGCCATTAACGTCTGTATTTCGTCCACTCACTATATCACCTTAACACCACAGCTCAATAATGGCACTGTACTCTTCTGGTATCTGCATGGAATGAACTAACTCATGATTTGCAGCGTAGACTATTTCAAGTCTGTTTCTGTCCGCATTGGATACACATCTGCACTGTGCTGGCCTCATGTCTCTACTATCCTATATTCATCTGACCTCAGGTTGCAACTTAACTGTCTTACCATTTGGTGACTTATTACCAGACAGCACTGACCAATACTTCACAGCAATTTCTGCTTCCCATCCACATACACTATGCCCTACACTGCCTCTAAGATTAGACTGCTGCCTTCAGTCAGTCAGGTAAACTGCTACGGGCCCTCGCCAGCAGTCATCCTTTGTTCCAAGTACTGTCTCACAACTCTGGGAGTTCAACTCTGACTCACCTCCTCACAACTCCATTCTCTTTGAGAATTTTCCAACTACCTTTTACAGGGGCAGTCCTTTGATAAGTCTCTCGTGGACACTTGGATAACACAATCCTCCAGAGTACACAAATAAGCAATCCCATAATTAAAACCAGAGTTGTATGCAGTTTAGTGGATTACAGTCCAGGAGAATTAACCTTTATCGGACAGGCCATTTAATTTCCGGCAGGGGCAGCTGGACGGAGTTTATTTAAATGCCCGCCCTTCTAGAGCAATGAAATTGTAAGCATGTTTCTAAAAATGGTGTGATTTCTACATTTTTTATGATAAACGAACGAAATGAACGCTCCTTTAATCTAGAAAGAATATAGAATCAGATATTCTAATTTACAGATTTTAATATCTATAAAAAATTTTTACACTGATTCCAATAAAAAAAAAAAAATCCCGAAATTCATACATTTTCTGCACCATGCATTCCAGCAGTATAATACATTTTCTGCACCATGCGTTTTAGCAGTGTAAGTCCTTCATGGCGACCTCACATACAATGCTATCTCTTGTTGAAGCTTATTTATCGTATGGGACATGTCGCTATGCAGGACTGTGGGCGTCTGAAATCGCTCGCTGTGTAATATCTGTTAGAAAGACACAGGAGTACATTCTCGGAATATGGTGTTGCCAGATCAGTCATTCATTCATTCATTGCAGTCAAACCATTGTTTTTGTAATGATTTTGAAATATCGCAATATAAGGTTAGCCACCCATGACATCATCTAGCATGTTTGAAGCAGATATTGAGTTCAGCCAAGACGTGAATGAGATTTTTGAATGTGTGGGTGTGAGGTTATGATTTATGGCTTCTGGTCATGGTCTAAGCACACAGAGATTTTGTGCTGGCAGTAAACCATTCACTGCTAGAGAGTCGTATAGTTCACCATAGCCACACGAAGACGTCGTATGGAAGATGCTGAAATTGAGAAACAGCTCGAAGGCCACATTACCATAGATGACGCAGGAGGGAAGGCTGTTTCCTCATGAAGATGGCGAATGTATATCACGTAAGTAGAGCAAAAATTTAATTTTAAGTTTAATTTTAAAAAAATCTTTACACACGTGCAATGCGCGAAATCATGTGAGGTCGTTCGGCCATATGACATCGGTAGATTACATTAGATCACGCATGAGGGAAGGCTGTCTCCTTATAAAGGTGGTGACCAAAAATCATGTAAATAAAACAACAATTTATATTTTTAATTTAATTTTAAAAAACCTTACATGCGTGGAATCCGCGACATCATATGATGTCGTTCGGCCAGCTGCCCTAACTTTTAACATCATCATATGATGACGTTCGTCTGATAAAGGTTAAGGAAAAATTAATATTTCAAAATTCAGCACCTTAGAAACTGATAAAGAAAGGAAAAACGCCATATATATCACATAATCATCAAATTCCACAGGCTTACAAAATTTCACTCAAATCCAAGTTAGTAACATCAAATGATACGCTGCTTTGGCATGGAATGACACCAAGTGAAGGCTCCATTATAACCAGCCTTACTAAAGTAATTTTAATTTTTATGGATTGGCCAAATATGTTTTCCATGCTTGGGCACATTCACAATTCCAAAGCATAAACCAAGGAGTGGAGAAGGTTTTAATCAAAAAATTTTGGGGAAAATATATGGAAATGATGAAATGAAATATGGTGACACTCCTATACCACTTTCTTCCTCAGGTACCAAAAACAAGGAATGCCTAAAAAATGAGACAAACTGTATTGTGTACTGTAAGAGCTGTAACATACTTACAGTTACTGAAGTTTTGTTGCTGTTGGGCGTTGTTGACATTGTGGTTCTGTTTGCTGTGGTTCTGATTGAAGTTCTGTCTATTGCCATTAGAAGCTCCAGGATAGAAAGTCTGCTGCTGATGTGGCCGTGACTGACTACTACCAGGGCGAAAGTTGGACTGGAAACCATTTCCGCCAAATCTATATCACAAAGAGAAGCCCATGATAAAGAATGGAAATTGAAAGGTTCTTAAATCATTATTTCTTGAATATTTTAATTAAAAAACTAGTGGAACTGATATGTACATTTTTGAAGAAAATTTGCAAAGACCCATTTTCATAACAAAAATTACTTAAAAATGAGAAAGAGAGAAAAGTAAAATAGTAGAGAACTGAGAGTACAAATACCATCAAGCAGAGATGAACCATGAATAGTGGCAGTGAAAGAAGTAACAGAAATTCACAAATTGATTATCATCTCCAACCAGTATGATTGATAAATGTTTTTTCTCCTTTTTAATCTCTCATCCTCGATATTGTAACGTGTTTCGTTACTGAATACGCCGTAGAGATCGTTAATTGGTTTATTCAACGACCTACAAGTAAGGGCTACAATTAATTATAACACAGTTGCGGGGTTTCACACTTTATAACCCTAACCGCATTAATCTGTTTACACTGCTGCAGGGTTTCACACTTTATAACCCTATGCGCAAATCAGTTCACTCTGTCTTCAGTAGTCTACACGTTTACAGTAGGGGAGCTATGTATCACTGCATCACACACTCCCGATTACACAATCACACACACGTCCAGTTCTTCTTTCCGCGACGGCTGCTATACTCCAACTGTAGTCGGCTGACTGGAGAACTGTTGATAACACCCTCGCTCATAGGCTTACTCGGAACTATCTTCGGTGATGGCCACGTTACAACTCAACTCGCAGGCTGCTGTGCAGTTCCCTTATATAGCCGCAGTGGTGCCTGTTGTGTGCTACGTCACAGTAGGAAGCGGTTCCGCGTCACCACGCGTTGCATAGCTGCCAGGATGCGGGGACTCCGCTAACTTTGGCTCCGCTCGGACCACTTCGGTTCCGCTCGGCACGTCACCGCGGGGAGAGTGGCGGGGTGATGACTTGCCTATTACGCAGCGATACGTTACTGCCACGTGCCGCTGGGGAGGTAGGGGTCAACATGTCACAATATGTTTCGGTTAGAGTGACTATCTTCAGAATGACATATCAATACTTGCGGAAACTACTATTACAATGTGATTGTTCATTATCAGTACATACATAGAATACCATTACATTACCATTGCAACTGTATTGTATGCATGTAGTCTTTATAGACACGAATAAATTGCAAGCGTAAAATCATATGAAGGTAGTATCCAAGGTTTTTCTTGTGCAACCTGCAACAACTCTATTCCTAAAAAACACATAACAATGGGATGCATAGTTTTTATTCCCTTTCTGTACAGCAAAATCATACTAAATCATAATGTTCAGAGGTACATGTGGGGGCCCTTCCTGGGTACATAAAGGTCCTGGACCACAGTACGATTTTTTACTTTAAAATATGGTTCTTAAGGGGACACTCATATCAAAAATTTATAAGTCATGAAGTCTTAATAAGAAAGACGTATTCATTCAGGTGACATAATTAAACCTTTAAAATAACGAACATTCCTTTCTGGTAAACAAAAACAAAACAAACTCCATGATTTTAGTCTGCAAGTGAACTATACCAACTGAGCGACCGCGATTTGTCAGCGAAGTTAGTGTCAACTTTAGCAGATAGTGTGTCACGTGGTCAGTGAAACAAATCCCCAACACTGTTAATTTCGGTTTTCTAGACCAGAGCCACTATTTCCTTGAAAAAGGTCCTCAATTATCCTCACAAGGCTGAGTGGACCCCGTTCCAGACCCACTACTTCTCAGAAAATCTGGTAGCACTGGGAATCGAATCCAGATCTCTGGATCTGTAGCCAGGAACTCTGGCCACTAGACCACAGATGCAGTCTAAAAACCAAACATTACTTTCTGCTACCAAAAGAAATTAGAAAAAATTTCCACGGTTCAACTTTGCCCCCCCCCCAATGTGTCAGAATACCATGAGCACTGAAAGACTCAATCTAAAAAATTGATGGATTTACACATTTCCACACCCGTGAACACAAAGTGGTTCTGGTAGACTGCCTATATGGCAGTAGGGATGTGCACCTTCATAGTACCTAAACAGTCAAGACTGATTTCATCCAGATTCTGTATTCAAAAGCTTATCCATCCTAAGTCAGTGACTGAATATAATGTCATGTTGGGTGTATAACGCGACAAATAACTTCACGCTGTATTGGATATAGCGAATTTTATTCCACAATCACTCATACAATCACACAGTTTACAATCTCACAGCTACTGCCATCTGCAGTATTACAATTACTTGACTGCATACTCTTCCCTGGCCAACTCGTGACTCGTAACTCCTCGCTTCATAGGCTGCTACACTTCAACTGTGCCACTCCTGATCATACACTCTTTAACTGTCTTCGTAGGCAGTGCAGGTCTCTTATAAACCCTCAGCCGGACAACGGGAAAACGCCTTGCTTCCTTGTTGCTTAGTCACCTGTTTACAGATAGCCTAGCAACACTGTTGGGAGTTGTTTACTGTTACATAGCAACTGTGGCGTCCCGTGTTATGTAATGGGTACCGCGGTTTACTCGATTTGCCTAGCAACCGCTGTTTACTCGCTTTGCTTAGCAACCAACGTGCTTGGACTTGGCTCACTTCGGCTCCACTCGGCATGTCACCGCTGGCAGGGGGGGGGGGCGTCCTCCATAGCACAACACATCACAATAAACATTCCATTTGCAAAACCAAAGCACCTACAGATGGGCCCCAAAACACCGAATGCCTATTTCCCCACAATATAGCTCAAAGATTTGACTAAATTTCAGTATTTTTGAAGATCGTATCCCTATATACACCTGCATAGGCGTATATAGAAAAATAACAGTACATGCACTACACACCCAGAAGGTGAAAGTCATTTTCTCAAAATGGGCTTTACTGGTCAAATGGATTTCACTGCTGTATGGCATTTAGCAACCAACAATGGCCTGCTGAACAACAATCAATTTAATTTTGAGGGTAATGTAGTCAAGATGAATCATATTTGAGACAGTATATGCAATGTCTTTGCATCCATTTTCTTTAATTTTAAATCAATTTATGCTGCTAGTTTACAGTTACAAATTCCATGCTCAACAGTGCATGATGTGCTATACAAAAGGCTACACGTAAGAGCGTACATGATTCTAATGATTCATGCACTTAAACCAAGTGACCAATTGGCACACACAAACCTTGCTGTGGAAATGCTAGTAGGAACTGACACATCACCCAATTTCCTTTGCCAAGTGTGCCTCTTGGACATGGTGATGTTCCATGTAAATAAGTCAAAATCAAAATGTCACGTGTGAATTGGATAGTCAGCCCCAAAGTGAACGTGTGGGCCGGCTTAACACACAACAAATTGGACCATTTTCTTTTCACAAACCAATTAATCATACATAAAATAAACAGAATGACAGAATGAATAATTTCTGGCAAAGAGAAAATGTGGATACCAACTGTTGCTTCAAGAATGATTACACTAAACCAAGAGAAAGAGCTCTGGACAACCAAAATGTTTACATTAAAACAGTTTCTATACCAAAGTTCTATTCAACCAATATGGGAAAATAATATGGTGTCTACAATATGCTTTGGGTGAAACAAGAAGTCTTAAAATTGTATGAAAAGCCATTGCATGTGGCAACACTATACAAGGATTTCACTGTATATACTATTCAAGTACCCACATTAAAAAAGGCATATAAAAATAAATTTTGTTCAAGTTTTACATTCTTAATGTACTTATTATTTTGAAGTACTGATCCAAATTCAAAACAAAATTTATTCACACTTTCAGGGGCAAACATGAAGCCTCAACTTTTCAAAGCAGCACCTGATAAATATCTTGTGGTGGAAATGTGAGAAAACTATTTCATTGCTGCTTTATCCAGATAAACAAAGTCCACATAATTATATACATTAAAATCCCTTGAAAACAATTTAATTTTTCTAAATACAGAGATAAAAACAACTTACGAGAACTTGTCGTGTGGAACTGGTATGGTTGTTAGAGATGTACCCAATGGGAAAGGTGGCAACACTTCTTCCAAGCCACTGCGCATCTTAAGGGGATGCCCAAACAAAGCAGGAATTCCAGCTCCAGGAATTCGACCAGCAGGGCCTGCACCAGGCCCGACATGGGGAGGATAGCCTCCTCGGACACTATTGCGAGGTTCTTCGTCACGAATCTAAAATCAAATTGGCACAGACAATATGTTAACCAAGTCTCATTTACTGCTTACTGTACCAGTTTGGGTCTATGCAATATATAAAAAGAACTCTGTAGCTTACTTTAACTTTACTGAAGTCCCAATTCAAGGTTCTTTTCAGGGTAGTGGATTTGAACATCAGAGGAAATATTTATAGGCAAGTAATTTAACACTGAGTTTACTGACTCAGTGTCACTGAAACCAAACCTTTAACAATGGAAAATCCTTAAGCTGAGGAACAGAAATGGGGGTTCAACTGTATTTTGAAATTATCTGCTAAAAACCTCATGAGTAGGAATAAAACAGTGACATGAGCAGATTCTGTGGCTCCCACTATTCAACCCACCAAAATCTAAATGATGTGAAATAATCAGGTTAAGCTCTAAAAATCTCTAACTTCCCTGCAGCTTGTTAGCTGCCAGCAAGGACTCTCACATAGAGGTTCTTATGGCCACACTGGAGATTATCAATGCTGCTGCTCAACCAGTCTATTTTTGCTGTCAGCATAAGCTCCTATGTTGGGCCTCAATGTTATTTTTATTAAAAAATATAAGTAAAACATATCTATTCATGTTGTTACTACGTAAAATGAATCTTCTTTCACATAACCTGAAAATTTACTTTTATTTGATAGGTAAAATGGCCTTGAGAGTTGAACAGTTGAATTAGTCACAGAAAGCAGAGTGACTGTGGGTCTTCAGAAATGAGTTTCTTCAACTGAGAGCTCCCACATCAAGGACAGATCCAGAAATATTCAGCAAAGAATCTGTCTCTGAAAGTGAATTATTGACAAATCTGAAATCTATACATCGAATAAAAACTGACATGTTACAGAAACTATGGATACTGCAATAATGGAAACGGTTTCTGAGTCAGATACCGCATCTGTTACTGCATCTTTACAGGTACAGCTAAATTTATGGTAGCATTAAAGGGCATATATTATAAGGATCAATGTACAGCCTGACAATGAAGGAATTTATTTATTAGTCTGCAAAAGTAAGGTCTATTACTGAAAATTAAATCATAAATTTGAAAGAGCCTAACTTTAATGTAGATAGTTCATAATGTACGTGGAGAAGCAACCTAAAAATCGACACTATTCCTGAAGAAGGTAGGAATGCTCAATCAGAGGAAAAATGACTATAAACTTCATCAAATGAGATTAGGTGGGTCCCCTGTCAACAAGGCATGGCACATCCTCTGGTTGCAGATGAAGGAGATGGCCTTCAACTGCAAATATATTGAATAAGCAGTCGTGGACAGCCATCAAAGGTTGGTTCTCCACCTGGGGGGGGGGTTAGGCATCGGGCTAATAACACCTCACCATAAAAAATAAGCTTGTTATGAAAGAACACAATAAGCTTGAGACCTGGATGGATTCATCAAAAGAGCTGCATGACACAAATACACAGGATACAAGAATCAAATATAAAGTTACTCAGAATATACCATGAAAAGCCACAAAAATCCTAAGTTGCTCTTCACAAGCTACAATTAAACAGAAAAGCAGCACAGGATTTGTTCTGTGGTAACAATTCTGTTCAACTTGTACAGTGAATGCCTTACCAAAGAAGCTCTGGATGGGCTCAGAGACTTCAAAATAGAAGGGCAAATTATTCAAACTGTGAAATATGCAGATGACCTTGTGTTAATTGCTAAGGAAGAAACTATGCTACAGGGCATGATTGATAGACTAATTGAAATTGGAAGGTGCTATGGCATGGAAATGAATGTGGAGAAAACAAAAGTAATGAAAATTTCGAGACAACCAACCCCAGTCACAATAAAGATAAACCAAAAACAAGTGGAGAATGTGAAATGTTTTAAATATTTGGGTAGCTTGTTAACAGATGATGGAAGGTGTACTTGTGAAATTAAATCCAGGATTGCCATGGCAAAAGCTGCATTTAGCAAGAAGAAGAATCTTTTTACCAGCAAATTGGACTTAAATTTGAGAAAGAAACTTGTGAAATGCTACATTTCGAGCATAGCTCTGTATGGGGCATAAACATGCACACTTAGGGCAGTAGATCAGAAACATCTGGAAAGTTTCGAAATGGTGTTGGAGAAGGATGGAGAAGATCAGTTGGACCGATTATGTGAGAAATGAAGAAGTGTTAATTAGAGTCAGTGAGCAGAGGAATGTCCTACACGAAATAAGAAAACAGAAAGCTAATTGGATTGGTCATGTTTTACGCAGAAACTGCCTTCTAAAAGAAGTTATTGAAGGAAAGATAGAGGGGCGGATAGAAGTGACAAGAAGACGAGGAAGAAGATGTAAAAAGATGCTGGATGACCTTGGGGGCAGAAGAGGATACTGTCATTTGAAGGAGAAAGCTCTAGATCGCATTAAGTGGAGGAACTGTTTTGGAAGAGACTGTTGACCTGTCGTCTGACAGATTACTGATGATGATGACAGTCAATAATTACTTATATGAAATGGTTAGAAAATAATTTTGTTATATTTTCTTGGGAAAACATAATTGTGATAAACATATTGCATATATGTCTTCATTTGACACTGTAAACAATTTCTCAGCTTCTGAGCTGGATCCTTCCAAAAGACTTAAGTTGGCATTCCATCATATAATAAAAAGTCTGTAATCTAAAAATACATTTGGAACATTTGAGCATTCTTGTGTGTCAGGCCTAAAATTCGTCTCCATCTTCTTGTAACAAAGGAAAGAATAATACATGACAATGCAAAGAAACCTAGAGGAAAATGACAAAACTAGCACATTACATGAAAATACAAGGAACACCTGATGTTAATAACAATCATAAAAATAAAAAGTAAATTAAATATTTTATTTCTGAGCACATAACAGAAAATAAATATTGTATTTTTACCCAAAAATGCTGCAAGGTTTTGTTCAAATCTACAACATTTAATCAAAGAATATGTTATTTTCCATGCTGCCTGCTGAATGATTCAGATTGAACAGACATGTCAACACTTTCACAGCAAACTGCATGAGCACTTATGCTTGCTAAGCAAAAAATACTGGCACTGGGACCCACATATGCCCAATGGCAGGTAGCTGTGCATATATACATACAATAAGAGCAACAGACAACAGTACTGATGTAAAGGTGTCCCTATGAAGATGGTCTCTGAGGACCGAAACGTGTAAGGGCATGAATAATTGAAACAAAAAATCTTAACCAGTCACACTGGACAGAACTATTTAACTTTTTCTTGATAACACATACTGTAACTGCACATCTTCAAATGTTTGCATAAATCAACATTCTGCTGAAAGAGATTTCAAAACAGAATTTAAATGCAGACAAAAATGTATAAATCTACTGCTCCAATTCATTTTACAACACATATTATGTCAAAAAAAAATATTTTAATATGACAAACTTTCTATTTTGAATGATCTAGTATGGGGAGCCACACAGCACTCATATCTAGGCTTGGATGGCATTATACATGTTCTGCTCTAATGAATAAGGGCTCTATTTCCCACCAAACCCACTTTCTTTTTTATGGACAATTTATTACTTATTCCATTGTATTCTATGGTACCCTAATGTAAAGAATTATATCATGATGAAGAAAAAGGAATAGGACAAGAACTCTTGGGCATTCTAAACTAAGAATTTGGATGAAGCTCAGACGTTTCTAACCTTCACAAGGTTACAAGAACCTTCTGGTGGAAACCACGAATGAATAAGAACATGGTATCATCATTGCTTCAACCAATGGCAGTCATCACTTGGATGTAGTCAGTAAAATTAATACCTGATGTATGGGCATGGGGCCCTCTGTATTGGTCGCCTTGCGGGGGACCCATTTGTCCCGACGCAACTCAATGACATCTCGGAGCATGAAGCGTATTCGCAGCGGTAACTCTTGATTCTCTGCGAGAGTGCTCATCCGCTCAAAATACTGATTCATCAGTTTCTGTAAACAACAAAAATCGTGGCCCTAGAGAACCCCAAAATTTATACCATAAAGCTGAAGAATGAAGTACTGGCAATAATCAGTCACTGTCACTTGAATGCTGCTGACAAAAATTTATTATTCTTAGTTGCTCAAACATCTCATAAGTTGTGTCTGAATAAGGTGGTAGAGGAAACACATTCAGCAGCACAGCGATAAGCCAATGCATGCTGATAATTACTGATGCTTCTCAAAGCACTTTTCATTAACCGTATATATCACACAGAACTTCTGATTATCTGTGCTACTGGAGGGGACAAAGCATGTAACTATTAAACATGACTGAAACTCCACAGATCTAAAAAATACCCACTACTGATGCTGCATTCAACCCCAAAAATCAATTAACACTTCAAAATAATCCTTTAATCCTACGATTTTCTAGCTGTTTCCCAAATGTCCTGTATTTTTTTTATTGCTAGTGGGGTGGGACTAAGTCCCTTGTACTGTGGCCACTTCTGGCCTATTGTACCAGCCCCAGATGATAGGTGAGGGTGATGCTTGGATGGTGATCATTTCATACATGAATCCTCACCTTTTCCACATACTATGCCTAGTACCACATATTCCCATATGCTTTGAAACGTCACCCCCATGGACAGCTTGCTGTTCAGTTCATATTCCTTTCTTTTATTATCAACAAACCTCATTACCTTCGGCTTTCAGTTATTGCCTTTCCCGAGCAATTACTTTTCTTTTTCACCAACTTTTCACACTACTGGAGGGCAAAAAAAGTGAATATCTATTATGTGAAAGATGCAACTGATTATACCTGGTCCTTAGAGGTCTCTGAAGACTCAGTTACTCTTTCCCACCAATATTAAATAAGGGTGGTGTTCTCAAACAACTGTGGTAGGTTTTGACTCACAAACACTTACTAAACCAGTCATGTGCTCAAGGTCATCAGAATTCTTTCCCAGGTGGGAAGTTTCAGGGGTGCATAAGGTACTATTCTTATTCTTACGGGGGAAATTAGTGCAGCTATGTTACAACAATTTTGAATAATTCAAATTTTAGGCTGTTGTTGGGCTGGAATGCAGCTCTGAAATAAAAATAAACTGTGCTTCAAAATAACCACCCAAAAAAAACACAAAAAATTGTGCACTTCAAGTTGGGGAATGTTATATACTTTAAATTAACAAGTGTTTTGAATTAACTGATACCAAATTAATGGGTTTTTACTTTATATACTCAGAATATTCTGGTGCTAATATACTGTAGCATACTTGGGTATGTCACGCTACAAATAACTTAACGCCGTATTAAATATAGCGAATCTTTATTGCAATTCACTTGCACACTTAACAACTATTATGACTTGCAGCTTTACAAGTACAGGTTACACAATCCCTTGGCGTTTAGGTTCCAACCTTCTTCAGCGGCAGCTATTCCAAGACTAACTGTTCGAATGCATTCAACCCCGTTTTATAACCTTGGCCGCTTCTATGCAAATGAACCCTCTGTTATAACCGTGGAAACTCTGCTCTGTTGATTCTGCGATTCGTACGCAACAGCCAGCTGTTGGGGCTACAATACTGCTACTGTTACTTCCTATGCAACGGTCTGTTCTAGCGTTTCCATAGAAGTGACTCTTCTGATTCCAAACAAGTTACAATACGCTAAACCCAAACAGGTTCAAGTGAGAGTATGTACTTGATAGTGGCCCACAGAATACAACCACATGAAACCTTCCAACTTGCAAGAACTTTAAAATATATAATACTAAGTACCATCACGATACTTAAATTGGAGGCTGATGAATCTCAATTCAGATAATGCTAACAATGAGAATACTGAATTATTTATTGTCATATCCCCATTATAACCAATCCAAAGAAATATTACTGTATCTGCATTATTATTCAAACCTTGGTGGCATATAGTATTATATTGCATTTCAACCATTTCTGGGTATTACTAGTATCTATCACAACAGACATCTTTTTAAAATTTCATGACTTTTCACAATAATGAGGTTCCACTGTATTGTATACATCATGTAAGCCAAGGACTAGGAGACACCCACCTTTCCTTTGTCAGAGTCCAAAATGCGCCCACAAGTTCTCATTATCTGACTGAGGCATTCCAAGTCCTCGGCCATGTCCTTGGACCCACTTCCACGGTTCTTCTTCTTGTCAGAGAGCAGCTGCTGGATGCAGCGGTGGAGTATACTCTCTGACAATATCTCCAGCTTACCCAGTTCTCCGATAAACTGCAGAAAACAGCACAAATAAATTGTTTAATGATGTAAAAAGGTTATAATGGGAAGATGAAATGTGTAAGATGAAGAGAAAATGTTATAAAATTTAGTTCCAAGAATGAAAAAATAAACAGAAATTGAATTACAAAAGGAAATTTCATGCTCAACCTCAGACAATATGTGAAAGAACTGCGGCGAGGACTGAAAATTTGTCATATGCGTTACTTATGAATTCTGAATTTCTTATGGTCTGTCCAAGTTTCGCTACTGCTCTTAATGCAAAAGTACTGCAACTATACCCCGTTCACTATGGACTTCATAACTACACCACAGTATCATTAAACGTGCTTACAGTTTTATCACAACTACTGGACTAGCCACATGTGCAGAGAAAACTGAGCAAGAATGAGGACAGCTGGCAGTTTTAGTAAACAGAGATGAAATAACATAAAAAGTATTATGTTAGTACTAAAAATCTGTTGGTCCTAAATAATGAAGTCATGCTGTTTTATGTAGCCTATGACAAGACTGGAACTTTTGAAACCTTAACCACTTATGTTTCACTAGGATCGAAAATATACTACGACATGGGTCAAAGAACATGCACATTCAATGAGAATCACGCAAACCTTGATGTTTCCAAGCATTTTGCGCTTGGTGAGCTGTCGTCGCTCCTCCTCCTCCGGCGCCAGGGGGCCATCTCGATGTTCAAATGCTTCAGATGCCTTGGAACGGTTTTCAAACTCGGTTCGACACTTGTTCAGAAGCAGCAGACGGAAGGTACAGGGACTGTTTGGTGGTTCAAAGTTTGGAGCTTCCTCAGACAGCCTCTTGCACAACTGTGCGTACATAGAACTGTATTTGGGCTCATCAAGGGCTTTTTCAAAGATCTGCAACACAAAAAGGATGCATGCAACTCTATGAACAAAGAACCTGGAAGTTAACATTGTTAATCCTGAGCCATGCTCAATTCAGTTCAGAATAAAGTAATCTACTTGCTTACAATCCATTTCAATACACTGACCAGTGTGGTTAAAGTTAAAAATAATACACACACTATTAGAAACTTATGACTATGGCAGTCAAGGCATCAATTACACCTGAATTTTATGTCAAGTCTGGTAAGAGAGATCATTTTCTTTCAATACTGTATTTCAGAGAAACACAGCCCACAGTGAATCATATTATTATGTTGGTAGTTAATATGCTAACCTAATTTAATCCTTCTCAATCTTCCATGTGGAGGCTTTAAGTTTCCAGAACACTATCATCAAGCAACACATATGCCCAGATCATAACCCTCTTGATTCACCTATCTTAACCCAACTGTACCAACTTCCACATCATGCATTTTCCTCAATCCCCATTCCCACTCACAGAAACTGTTACGTACAAAATGTACGTACATTATGTACATTATGTACAGGGAGTTTAGAAGGTTAACATATCAGATAAAATAATAATAATAATAATAATAATGGAACTAAATTTCAGCGAGACTGAATATGTAGAGAAGTTCTGTCAATGCTTATTACAAATCTTTCCACATCCTTGAACTTTGTTAAATTTTAAAACAACTTAAGTTCACAAATGCAAACATACTCAATATTAATTTCCAACACATTACCACTTACCAGCAATATAACTCCTTTGAGAATCACACCTGAATTAAGTTCTGTTTGGAGTAAATCATCGCTCAGCTTCTGGAATTTCTCTGGGGTGAGCTTGTTGAGTATACCCCGCACCTAAATAAATAAATAACACGCATCCTTAAAGTAACATTGCAGACAAGCCTCAACCTCCTCATGCATACAAACTTTCCTTAACACAAATAGGAAAAAAGTAACATAACACCTGTAATTATATTCCACACTATAAACTGATTCTAGAACAAATTATATAATTGTACCCGTTATATGTAAGTGTTAAACTTGGCTGTCTGCCAGCCAAACAAAGAACACACAAATTAAGCATGTTTAAAAACGGGCTTCTGAGAAGAATATCTGGACCCAAAAGAGAGTATGGGGGTCGAGGAAACTGATGAAGGGCTTTTTCACTTCCTTTCATCAAACAAATTACTAAGTGCTCAAATTAAGGAGGCTAAAACGGATGGAAAACGTAGCACACACCAAGGAAACAGAAAATGCCTACCAAACTCTAGACCATAACCCCAAGAAAGACACAGTCCTGTGTGCACTAAATTCATTTGGTTCAGGATGAGGTTTGTGGTAGCTTGTGATTCTGTTTAACAATGCTGTCAGTTAACTCATACCACACAATGTTGAATATGGGATGATAGTGAACTGGAAAGGATGTGGTCTAACTTAAGGTACAATCCTATCATGTCTGGAGAGACTGAGTAAAACTACAAAAAACCTCAGGATAGTTATGTGCCCTGTTTCAGATTCAAGCTAGACACCTCCAAAATAAGAGAGAAGCATTACTGCTTTAGCCAATCTGCTTGATGAAATTAGGTCTGGAAGAGTACTTATGACCACAGTAAACAATCCTTCATGTTACATAAAAAGTGAATATCTTCTTGCTCAGCTGAATTACAATCACCTCCTGAAGGACTCTGCTCCATGGGGTTATACTTGTTGTACTTTATTTCAAATAACCCTGGACTGCTTGTTAACACAGATGAAAAAGGGGGCATAATACATTTAAAGCCAGGTTCACAATGAGCTGAAGTGATATTTTATAATAATAATCACCAGCACAGAATAACGAACATAGATGAACATAGATGTAATCACCCCAAGGTTACTTCATTTAAAAATTACCATATTTACTTGTGCACTTGCTTCTTTATTAGATTAAACTGAGGATGGGATTATTAAGTGGTGGTCCTGAAATGTGAAAGTGGCCAGATAAGAGGAATGACTACCAGATTCATAAAATCATGGCTTACACTTTTATTGGGAAAAGACGGAACTGTTATTTACCTAAGTAAATATTACATGTTCACCTGATACAAACGCTTCTTTCTCACACACGTAAACCACAGTGCATGACAATGCTATCTGCAAAGCCTCGCCCTTCCTTTCATACAAGCTATTTCTTAGAAGTAATGCCTACATGCCTCTGCAATGTGTAATGAACACTGTTGCCTTGAGAATTAATGTTCTTTAACTGGGCTCTGATAACTGCAGTATGAGTTCCGTATACTTGACACAAAGATTTGAAAATTTCATTTTATTTCATACAAGGTCCATGCCATAGCTCAAGCGGTTAGTCGCTGGCTTCCCACTGTGGTGGCCCGGGTTCGATCCTGGGTCTGGTCAAGAGAAATTTATGGTGGACAAAGTGGCGCTGGGGTGGGCTTTCTCCGAGTACTTAGGTTTCCCTTGCCAATCTTCATTCCACCAAATTCTCCATCATCATAATCACCCGGGGCAGGCTACAATAGGCCAATCAGTGGCCGCCATGCCAACTGTACCCAGTTGGACTCCACACCCCACTAAGCAAATTGAAAAAAGAATAATTTTACAAAATACAGTGAAAGTGTGCCTATAAGTGGGGCAATTTTTAAATTTGAAGCAGTTAAATCCAATAAACTCTGCCACAATAAGAAATTCTAAAACTATTGGATGGTGACTTTGGTTGTGGAAGATGTGATATGGAATGTACCAATTTTGTCTTGAAGGTAATCTACAGCAGCTGAGCAATTTCCTGAAATTCTACATAAAGTAAGTGGAGATGGTAAGTACACTAATGAACAATTACACAATTGTGATGAAACAGCATTGTACTATAAACAGCTAACACAAAAAAGTTATATCTTAGAAAAGCAGGTATGAGTAACAGAGTGACTTGGTTCCTGTGGGCCAAAAAGACTCAAATCACAAGCTAAAACCACTGTGCTGTGGTGAAAGTATTTAGCCTTCAAGCATGCCAACATGTAATCTCTGCCTGTAACCTATATAAAGCATTCCAATACATGAATATGATGTGAGACATTTTCATCTTGTGATATGGAAGTGAGTTAATACCACCAGTAGGATACATTTCTTTGTGTTCCAAAAAAAAATCTGAAGAAAATCCTCTGACAGTGCTGGATCATTGTCAGCCTATTTATCTGCTGAAGTCCTGAAACTGAAAATGTCGAAGGAACAAGAATGCACGGATTCAGCCCATGAATCAAGGCATTATGCAAGCCTACAATGTCCATTATCCTAGACATCTACTTCCTGGTTTCGTCAGCTCTGAACTGCAAGTTACAAAATATCTAAACATATTATCACTGAAAGATAATGCAAACAATGTTGGTTATGCTTGTGAAAAGATTGATGGCAACTGAAAACCAGTGAAAGCAAATTTTTTTTGGAAAAGATAAAATAAGAGAAGACAATGCTGGCAGCACTTTCACAAGTGAAGACTGCTTGTAATGAACTCAAAAGAGTAATCTAGAGCAAATGACTATGCAGCTTGGAGTGCGGCAAGTGCAACAGCTCCAGCACAGCCCCTCAGTGAAGAAACAGATTCCTACAAAAAACAGGAAAACAAACAATGAACATAGATCTAACGACAGGACACAGAAGTGATTCAGACGACAACAGTTACAACACTTGTAATGCAATGGTACCAACATTACACCAGCGGATGGCTCCTGTAATGGAGCAGCACCTAGTTCCAGCACTGACATAAAGCTTAGCACACCTCCCCTTGTGATGCTAGTATGAGTGCAAGTGACTGCATCACCAATGAATACAGGATGCTTGAAGAATCATTTAGCTAACCAGGTATTACCAAATGTCTGGTACTTTCTATTCCTCCCTCCGTTACCCCTCTTTTTATTCTTATATGTGAGCACGAAGGTCTTGATATGCTTCTACTTGGAGTGAAGTACATACATATTTTGCAAGCTCTGATGAGGCATTCCAAATTAAAAACACTGGTCATTTCTACAGCAGCTTCATAACAAGATTAGGAATGTGAGAGAGGTCAAAATGAAATTGTGATTATACCAGAAATAGTCACCCAATACAATAACTGAAAGGAGCAGTATGCTAGGCTATGCATTTATGCCATGTAAGAGCAAGTGCTACCATCATCTCCCACACCCTTTATGGGAGACAAATACCATGCTCCTATACAGTACTTCTGAATTCCTTATTCAACTGAGGGATTGCTGTTCTTCTGGTGAAACGTCTGCTACTTTGATCACCTTATATAAAAGTTTTAAGTTCACATCTCTCTTCTACATTAGAACAGCAAAGAAATGTCAGCTGAGACTGTCTCATATTTTGTATGAACTTACAAAATGACCATAACCACAAAAACAAAACATACACGAATATCCTAAACACCACAAAACAAAATGGGCCACTTTTACATAATGCAGAAAAGAGGACAAATAACCAAGCTTTTTAAAAACACGCAACTTACAGTAGTTTTTCACATACAAAACACATTCAACAATATACTGAAAACATCATGCAGACATAAATATAACAATAGCGGCATATATCAGATGAAATGCCTGGATTGCCCATTAAAATATGGTCAAATAGGAAGAATGTTCAATATAAGACATAAAGAACATACTCATGCCATCAGAAGTAATAGTGGTAATTCCAGATATTCAAATCATACATGAAATAAGGGACATACATTTGGCACAACAACAGATAACTATGGACATCAAAAGGGCAGGAAGGAAAGGCAGACACCTAACACCTATCACATTTACAAAATTAGCAAGAACAACTCATAAAAGAAGCACACAATCCTATATATTCCAAACAGTACATGAACTTTACCAGTAGTTAGCAGTACATACACCACCTAGAAAGATATTTAAGGGAGAACACCACCAAATCAGTTCATGAAACACACAAATCAACACAAGATACACACAACCAAGACAGCAGTACACCCAGTGGGGCATATAAGTACAAAAATACAACATCTAGGCACACAAAGCAAGCATAACCCAAGAATTAAGGACAGAATCATACTAATAAACATTATATATAGCAGAGAGCAGCCACAATACAAAAGATAGGAAGAACAGACACCCTATAACATCAAGATTAATAACAATGATGTATTCACTACTATTGACAAAGTGCACAGTGCAGTGGATTCCTTAAAAGTGTGTTGCCTGAAGATGGCCCTATGTGGCCAAAACATGTAGCACATAAACACAGAATGTATATACAGTTTGACGACATTTTAAAAATTTTAGTCAATTAAACGTCATCTAAATCTATACTGATATTGTTGCATTACAGACAGAAGATTACAAGTGTTACAAAATGCTTCTCCTTTTAAAACTTGAAATATCACACAGCATGTGTATTAAGTTGTTTGCAACATAAGATGCTGGACACACAAAACATAATGCTTCTAAATATTCTACTTTGAATATTCAGGTATGCCAATCAAGATGACATAAGGGTAGTCTGTCACAGAGATATAAGTACTCCCCCTTGACAATGAATGGAACAGGCTGAAACAGTCACATGAATTTATTAACTGAAGCTGTGGCTGCCATGTGCATGACAGTATTGGAACTACAAGGTATGAATGTGAAACTGTTATATTTGCAAAGACAATAATTCAGAATACATAAAATATTATTTGCAGAATAGCGACCTGGCACCTGGGACTTGTGCAGACCTGGTTAAGTTAATGTATTTTTTTGTACTGTTCTTTTTCAAAATCTGCAAAAGAAGAGTTTCTTTTGACATACAATGCAAAACCCAAGACCTCTACTTTAGACCCCAGAATTTAAATGCCCAGAAAGTCTAATGCATCATGCAAAAGAGGAACACTTTTATCAGTTCTGGCAAACTAAACTGCTTGTTTATTTGAATTTAGAGGCATAAATTATTTTTTATAGTTTTACATATCAGTGAAACTGAAAAAAATATAAGTGTAATATACCTTTTAAACTGGCTGTGTACTTATACACATAAAAAGTAAAGAAGGTTTACAGAAATCAAATAAATTGCTAGCTAACTTTGCTTGTAACATGGATGTTTAAAGCCACCCACTTTATACTGAGGTGTCACTGTACTGACATGTTTACAACATTTCATAATTTGTACTGTTTCCACAAGAGGTGAGAAGCTACAATTCTGCTATGCCTTCAAAAATGGCACGACAGTAACTCTGTGTTATTTTGTGTAAAGTATGCACTGAGTATCAGCAAAATACTATCAGAGACCGTTTGTAGTCTAATGCCATTGCATCACAAGCATGCATTAGCAAATATTTTGTGGGCACTTAGAAAACCAAATTCATGTAACTGGACACTACACACACAATACTGCACTGCCCAGAGACTAGTTTGTACTTGCTTTACATTATCGTAACACACGAACAAAAACAAAATTTTTCTTTAGACCTAACAGCTGCTCAGGCAGTCATGAAAATTCCCCATACCCTTTCATCCCCCCCCCCTCTAGGATCCAGGTAGTCTTTGTTTTTGAGATTCCAGTAGAGACAAGCATGCTATATGCCCTGGCAGCCTCAATTTACTTTATTTGATCATTTTAACAATATCTTGCAAGTACAGGTGATGAAGCACATTTCTGCAATTTACCCCAGCCTCCTGTTAAAACAAAGCTCTTACCTTACGGAAAATGAGATCATTGCGATTTTCTGGGGTGAGTGCATCTCGTCTTACGGTTGAAGGAGGGATCCAGCGCCGCTTTGTGGAAAGGGAGCGAGATTCGTCCCTGCAATAAACAATGAACATGCAATTCTCTTATCCCCTATGCACAATTTACACCAAACAACTACAATTCCTGCCAAAATGCCATTAAGGAAGCCTAAAACCAAGCAACAATGTTCACAAGCAAAACTTGAGGAGGGACAGAAGCTAAGCACTAAAGCTTAATCAACATGAATGATGCAACAAAATATGCAGGTTTCTACATTGATATCTGCAGTTATGACATGGAAAAAACTTATGGACAAACACAGACAGTCTGTAATACAAAGAAAATGTGTTTAAGATGTCACTATATAACTTCACTCATCTAATAACAGTTATGGTTACGCCGAAACCTAAATGTAATACATGACCAGCATGTTCTCTTTACCTTGATAAAATCTGTTAGTATTCAAAGACCTTCTACTTTAACAGGGAACAAAAATTTGGCGTTTTCTCAACAACTGTCTGACGCACAAAAGCACACAGGATTGTGAAGTCTCAACATACAAATCCAAAGCCTCAAAACTACCTTCACACAGAATGGCTACAGTGCAACAGACATCAGATGGTGAACTCCCAACGTAAATTACAGTAACTAGGGTCAACTGGACTGACCCACCATATTACATATGAAGGCCCCATCAAACAAGATCAGCATGCCCCTGGTAAGGTTCAACATAAGGGATGTAATACTTTCCAGAACACCTACTGAAACCAGGAAAAGAAGATCTAATTCTCATGAACCCTCGAATATTCTGCACTCCCCTGCGAATGTAGCAAAAAGCATATTGGATAGCCAGGGTGCACAAGATAATATATAAGGCTATTTCATCTGGACAAGTCAGTGGTGGCTTAACAAAACACTGAATCAGAACATTATAAACTTCAAAATATTACACTGTTGGCTATAACTACATGGTGGAGCCCAATAAGACAAACCTCCAAGAACTGGAAACATAAAACAACTTCAAAGAGACATGACATTCAGTCAAGTCAGTTTTGAAACTCAGCTAGTGCCATACTTCCAACAAGGCACAGCCATCAACAATCATTAAGATCCAAGGAAGTTAAAGAGTTAATGGTCACTATCAACCCATACTGTGAGAATAAGCAAACTTTACTGTGGCATACGCACGATGAAACTGTGCCTGCTTGAACCCAACTACTGGACAATTAGCAGACCAGGAGAACCATACACAAGCTTACAGCATGTATATACTCAACAAACAGCTGTATTATCCATCACTACATTCCCTAATGAAAGAGGTGGAGCCACTCTCCAAAACCCTAATAATGCAACTCAAATTGACACGGCATATCACCCACGAGAAATTCAACATGTAAAATTAAAATCTTGTATGTTTCAATCTTTATATTTTTGAATACAGAATAGTAAGTCAGAAGATTCAGAATTTATTGGTAATAATCCCTGAAGTTGATATCCTCTATTCCTTTTTCCATGAATGTAATTCTGATTTGTTATGGTCATTCCCCAATATTTCAGTCTTGCCACACTCTTGAAGGATTTATTATTGATCCTTGTCAGGAATTTGTGCTACATTCTGGCAACAAGTCATGCACATCCATATACAGGGTGTCCCAGGAGGAATGTGCCAAACTTCAGGAGGGTGTTCCTTATGTTAAAGTATGCCGATATAACCCAAAACACCTATGTCCAAAGTTGAACGGTTACGGAGATAATGGCCAGAGAAGTGTCAAACTTTGACCGGGGTTACACACTTGTTGATTACAAAATAGATATTAAAACTGGCAGGAATATGTGGATTCTGTAATGTTAATAATGTACGTAACATCAAACTAACTTGTGAGTGACATGAAGCCATAAAATTGAAGTACAAAAAACTCGCATGCCATCTCAAAGTTGTCGTTTAAGAGTTCCAAGCACTGTACATGACACATGAATGGTAAGCGATGACGTAACGTGCTGACTGCGCGTTCTGATAAAGCCAACTCCATAAGCACGGATAGGATGAATCACGGCAGTCAAGGACAAACAGAGATAATTCCTCTCAGCTGATAGGTATAATCCGTGGACCCGCTAGAAGACCACACTTTTCTCGGGCCATTATCTCCGTAACCGTTCAACTTTGGACATAGGTGTTTTGGGTTATATCGGCATACTTTAACATAAGGAACACCCTCCCGAAGTTTGGCACATTCCTCCTGGGACACCCTGTATATGTAGCACTGTGTGGAGTAACGCCTAACGGACTTCAATATTCAGTAACTCAATTTGTCACTATGCAACACAGATACACAAGCAATATTTATTCACTGTGCTCTGTGAACTTCAGTCAAAATGCAGCACTGGTCAAATCAAGAGCAAAATGTGCCTGTAGTGGTAGTAAATACAAACTCTGGAAGCTTCTGGAAGTCATTTCACAGATGTGACATGCCTATGTGGATTCTCCTCAGTGTTATAACTCCATGTAGACCCCTGAAAGTCAACCAATGAAATTCCACAGAAAGCAGTGTAACATGCCATACTCTTGGTGAATCCACATTTGAACCTTTCTGTTAAATGAACCATAAGTTTCTCCAGTGTGTATTTTAGTTCAAAAATGGTCAATGTGTATATGTGGACACCTGAAAATATTCCTTCCAGCAACACTGCATTTTTTGGAACCTACAGTTTCTTTCATTCAAGCTAGGAATGAAGAAGATATATATGTTAGATGGGCACATAATTAAAAGGTTGCCAAGAAACAATGGCTGACTCACCTTCCTCCTAAGACACGAGAAGCACCCCCCGGTCCTCTAGGGCCGTCCGTTGTTGCTTGTGTATCGGCCCCCAAAACAATGAACAAGTTTCACTTTAGGATAAATGAGGTTGGGAAGCTGAAACAAGACACATTTGATCCATTACAACAGAACCAAAATCTTCCAATATAAGGGCACTAAAATGAGAATGCCAAAAACACAGGCATGTGAAACAATTAATGAAACCACGGCTTACATATAACTGAATGCAGGAAACGAAGTTCATTCACCCCAAAACAAGCCACTGCCCAAATTACTGGGATTCTTGGTTTTAAAGCAGTCCCACTGATATAATATAAACATTTCGAAAGTAAAATAAAGAAATGTTTCAATCATTAAATAGAAGTATATGTAACAAAAATACACCAATATTTAGTTCAGCAACTGAACGTAGAAATATGCAGTCGCCATCTTTGAAATTTTGCTTGGGGAGACAGATCAATATTAAGAAGAGGAATTTCTCTTTAAATCGGTCCATTTCTGGCCACATAAGTAATTTTTATGAACACAATATACTGTACAGTTCAGTCTAAACAACCTAGAACCACAACACACAATAAGAAAAACGCAGAGAAAACTGTTGCGTCGGCAAGTCTCACTCAAAATGGCCTTGGCTTTAGTTGACCAAGATGTAATTTCAAGAAAAAACCTGCATAAAAGACAGACGTGAAACGAATCCTACACAACAGCTAAAAACACCACAACCAGACGCAAAAACTTACATTGATCAGCACATGAAAATGTTGATATTTTCTTCACCACTGATGTTAAAAAAAATCTGCCGTCCACAGCACTCCAATGCTCTACTGATTAAATACCCCTCCTGCCTCCTCGACCAGGCATGGCAACCATCGACGCGAACAGCTTCCCCCTCCTAAGCACCTCCCCTACCTCCGTACGCCATTCACTCACCCCTGAGAACCCCGTATGAACCACGTGTACTACCCCGAAATCACATTTCAGTCCCTTTCAAGTCGAAGAAATACCCCTAATTACAAGTTCTCACAACGATAACTATGAAAATCACTATCTTCTGAAATGTGATGTTTCGGAGGAACGTACTGCTTCCATCTTCACTGCAGAAGCCTGCTGGATGTTTGCTTCCTTGTTCGACCATGAATAGAGAAGCAGTTCGTTTCTCCGAAACAATGAACTACGAGACTACAAGGCGCAACATCACAGACCATTATATTCCAAGGACTCTTGTGCTAGCTACAACTAGTCGTATGTGGACAACTTTATATAAGACAACGGCTTTCTTCATAGTCACCGCCTGAAAACCTCAAATCTTNGAACTACGAGACTACAAGGCGCAACATCACAGACCATTATATTCCAGGGACTCTTGTGCTAGCTACAAGTAGTCGTATGTGGACAACTTTATATAACTTATCGTGAAGTTGTGCAATCAATACGTAAGTAAAATAATTAGTGCGATAATCTTGTCTAATTGTGTTAACGTAGGAGAATCACCAAAGTAACGAAACATACAAATGCGTCCTTAACATTACATATGTATTTTTGTACGCTCCGCATCTCCACGGTCAATGACACCCGGCAGCACTGCTCGAAAACCAGCCCAGCTAAGACAAAGTTCAACACTGCTCAAATATTCAAGGTCGTGGCCTGATGACGCATTGTTGCCAAACCTCGAATCACATAACAAAAGTACAAAAACACGATATCATATATTTGCTAGCACATGCAGTATGTAGCTCCACACCAATTGTTGCACAACCTTGTCGATGAATGATGCAGTTCTTGACGCGCGCAATACCAAAAAAATCTCGCTAACCTGGCAACATGGTTATGGTTTACCCATCATCCTTCGGACTAGAGTTCAGGATTGTTCATAATTAAGTCTACGCTGTTCATTGAACTTTGAATGCGTAGTTCGGTTTAAAATAAAATTCCAAAGAAAAATGGGTTTTCATATTTCGCCAGATTAGGATTAAGCTACTGGGCGGCAAAGGGTTCAAAATACTGACACAAATAACCGCCAACTCAGTGCCTGCTGCTTTACCTTCGCCTTACCAACTTCGTACGTTATATAGTGTCCAAGGTTTACAAATATGTATTGGTGATCGCTACGAAATATTATGCGTGTTGGGCGATGAGAACAGATTCCACAGAATGAGAAAAATTAAGCCTCGTTGTTAATATTCGAACATGGAATCTTCGGAAGCTAACCAGTACACCACGTCGAAGTGGCAGCGACCTTCGCACCTTGTATAATTTGGTCCAAAATTCAACATAACCCAAGCATTTCATGAACGTTCTGTAAATACTAAACTTCGTTTAAATCAATTCACTTACGACAGTTGCTGAGCACGGACATGCGAAATTGCCTGATATCTTCAACTGAAAAACGGAACTAAGAATACAAAGAAGTCTGAAGTCCTCGGCTTAACTCGGCAAGGCCTTCTGACACACGTCACTGCTTCGCAGAATCTGGCACGAAGCAATACGATCCCCGGGATTCCGGAAAAAATACATTAGTCTTCAAATCTCGATATTTCCAGCAAATGCAGAATGGCTAAGTGCCTTCAGACGAAATCGAGTTATGTACTGCATCCGAGAACCGCGTCCGCTGAGGATATTTCCTACAAATGTTTTCTGTTTACTTCCTGTCATAAATATTACCTTACGTTCCTCACCCCGCATCTTCCTNTTTCCTACAAATGTTTTCTGTTTACTTCCTGTCATAAATATTACCTGCATCTTCCGACTTACTTGAGTTAAGATGTATGCCCCAAGTCCGGTAATTATTTATGACACTACATCAACTGCAGAGGACAAACTGGGCAAGCTACCTAAAACGACAACGGTTCCGACTTGCCTGCCCGGCTCAAAACTCTTCCAGCAGACCGACTATCCTCAAGTCTTCCATGGTTTTCCTCAGCCACTTCGCGAAAATACCAAAGAGTATCTCAAATTATGCCATACCAGTTTCCTTCCACATCTTCTTCCAAACTGCATTCATTCGTAACGCCACCATAATAAGCCACAAATAAAACAAAATTCAGAAGCCAAATGACAGTGAATGGAGCTCAGGCATCGATATGAATTTAGTGAGAAAGTCGGTGGTAATGTCAGGACACAAAATATGTTTATTACTGAAACAGAAACGAAAGCAGTAATATTGACAGAACTATAAGATTTATTTTATGCTGTGAAAGTTCGTGTTACACTGTGGCGGATTATCAAAAAATATAACAGATATCAAAACTATACACAACGCCACACAAGAAACTAGTCAGAGCATATCCTAAAACCGAAGTCGACAAGTATGTAAGAAGAAAAGGGTCAACATTACAGAGCTCTGAGTTCTCTGTCAGTTTTATTTAAAAATTAATTTTCACGCAGGGTATGAGGCTCTATGAAAATAGTTAAAAAGTTCAGACTTTATATAAAAGAGGCGAACTGAAACGCCCTGAAAAACAGACAAATGTCAGGCTGGCTGTTATTTAACAACGGTGTCATTATCGGGAATATATAGCATCGATGATAGGATGGAACAGAAAGTAGAAAGGGAAATCCAAATACTAGCAGAAAACCTAACCCAGAGTCACTCTGTCTACCACACAATCAACAAGAGCAAAACTGGGATCGAACCCAGACCGCAACGGTTTGAAAACGAAGGGCAAATGTCTGAAAAAATATACAAGAGACTAAAATTCATAAAAGAGCAACGAGAAACAATTTTATACCAAATGAAACTCATGGCCCAGCAACACCAACATCTCGTTTTCTTGTGCGAACGTCCACAGGTAAAAGACTATGGTGTCACCCTGAGACTCCACACCGGTTCGATTGAAAGTGTGATTAAAAATTTGGTAAACCTGTTGTTAAAAAGAATTTTAAAGCAGCAGTAGCACGTAAGAATAATAAGCAATTCTTACATAGGAAAATGACACAGCAATATCTTTTGGTGGGTCCGTCCTCTTACACACCAACAAATGTCCGGGCAACACTTCAACGGAAAACTACGGGGTTTGCGTTAGGGTGGACAAGTCTTGCAACTGTAAATATTTAATGCCTTGTCTCATGAAACTAGAGGACTATTCTTTCCGTTTCTGAGTATACAGATCTGTGAATCAGGCTACTCGCTACAGACGTAAGGACTGCGTTTTACTACAGCTCTACACACTGAATCGATTGTCTTATATTCCTATATACGACAAGAACTACAACGAAAGTATTGCTTTCCATCGAAATAAACTTATAAATACAAGAATATGCACTATCGTAAAATATGCCGTCCCTCTGTCATTGTTCTGGTTGCAGAAAGTCCGAAACGAATCGAATACAACTAATCGCCCAATTTATGTAGCATAGATCTACAAAACGGATACTACTGTACTTCACACCTACAACCGACTGGTCACCACACATCTCTATGAAACGTAAGTAGCCACCCATACCAAATCACATAATTACAACAACCATACGTACATATACAAGCTCGTCTATATTTTCACATATACAAACATCGTGGAAAACATGACGAAACATATTACAGAGATCATTCTAACCGTATTCTGTTCCATTATAATTTATCAATCAATTTTATTCAACTACTTTTCGTATTCAATGTTTCAGTTTTCAACTTTTAATCTTATCATACCATAAGGAAGTAATAAAACACACGCCGTGGTATTAGTCCGCAAGCAAACTATACCGACCGAGCGACCGCCGCTTGTCAGCGAAGTTAGTGCCAACTTTATCGGTTGGAGGGTGTTGCGTGGTCAGCGCAACGAATTTTGGCGGCCATTAATTTCGGTTTTCTAGCCCGGAGCCGCCATTTCCTTGAAATAGCTCCTCCAATAAAGTAACAAATACATACAAAAACTTAGAAATTTAAAATTTAATTCATGATGTTCACTAGTAAGGATCTATATTAGTCCAGCAATTCATGATGAGGATTATGTACTTATTGCACCCACGATGATCACACTGATTGAAATAAGTTGCGGTGAACAAAAAACAGTGTTAATACGTCAATATTACTTTTATTTACTCATAAAGTGTTGTGTTGATGGCCACATT